GTATCAGGCATAGTAGATGCAGTTTGATTATTTAAACAATAAAATGCTTTCTTTGGTTGGTACGGGAATTAATGTTGCAGCTGTTGCAGAAAAAATGCATAACCCGCATAATCGGGTTATGTATTTTTTTCTGCAATAGCTGCAATGTTAATTCCCGTACCAACCAAAGAAAGCATTTTATTGTTTATATTTATATCTATACAAATAATCATTTAAAGTAGGATTTAGTAGATGAAATATTGTATTATTGATATATATATCATTGTATGTTGATGGAACAGCCACTGCTCAAGAAATCTGTAGAGGTGATATGCTAAGCGGTGTTTACTGACTGATAAAAGGCAATGGTTTTCTTAATATATCACTATTTACTGATATCACTATTTATATACTTATTTTTTATGAATGATTTCAGAGTCTCTGTATTTGACAGTTCAAAATATTTGTATTAAAATCAAAAAACATTTTTTTTCTTTTACAAAAATTTAAATGTTATACACATGTACTTTAAAGCACTTGTCATGAACTGGAAAATTAATGATTTATTGCAACAGAAATGATATTAAAAAAAGTCTTAATATATAAAATAAATTAATGAAAAGAAATTCTCCTTGTTTTATTCCAGCAATGTGTTCCTGAATTGAACTTAGAAATTTTGTCATGTTGAACATAAATGGTACCCATGATATTCCATTCCCCATTGAAATATAGCCCCTTTATATAGTGCTTAGATTTTGTTGTTCAGGGATTAAAGTTTATTAAGAGTTCACCTTTGACCTTTATTTAAGTAACCTTGACCTTCTGAGTTATTCCAGGTCATGGGAGATGCCATCACAAAGATTAATATGTGTGATGGGGTTTGAAAAAATAAACAGGAAATTTCAATAAAATGCAACAACTACATTAACCTTTTTTGGATATAACCAACGAAAATCTTAAATACATTAATTTCAAAGAATTGAAAATTTGTATAGTATATTGAAGATCTTACTAATTTCATTATTGCACTCAATAACTGAACGGATGCAAGCATCAAATTAATTATTTCTCTCGATTATTCAAGCATACACCGAACCATAATATTGGTTTTTACAACCATATTGCCAAAAAATTAATGTAGCTACTTATAAGGGATGTAATACCAATATTTTCGTACACACTTTTTCTGTATTGTTACGTTTTTCGAAATTTAAGGCAATCTCGGAGAGCAAAATGTTTTTTTTTTCCTTGTTCTTTAAAATTTATTTTATACAGATTAATATATCTTCATCAAGGAAAACAAAATTAACAATATCAAAGTACATGTACGTGTATTCTATAAATTTTTAACGATTGACAATTAAAAACATCAGTATATTTGTCAATTTCATCTTTTTTTCCTTGGTCATTTAGTTCAATTATCTACTGTTCTGTTGAATCAGACAAAATTACAAATGCTCAGAATAAGTACATGTTCATGTATACCTTTGATAGAATGATTATACCCGCATAAGGAACTATTGAACATATTGTTCAATAGTTCCTAATGAACCATTGTTCATACGCAATATAGTATAAGTGGTTCTAATAGCCAAATATACTCCATGAAATGATATTTTATTACAGAAAGCTTTTAACTGGAACTGGAACCATTTCAACACTGAAGTGATAATATACTGGGACTTGGAATTGGAACACGTTAACCCCCCAACCCACCCCACCTCCCCCGAAAATAGATTCTTATAAATTTTCTACAATAGGAGGGTTGCGTGTTACTCACTATATATGAATTTTTTAGGTAAAGATGGGAAAAAAATCACAGGTGAAGCCCTGAGCCATTTAGAAAATGTTTACCATAAATAGAGAAACTCTGCTGATATGTGATTCAAAATTAATATAAAATCAAATAAATGAAAATATCTTTAATTTTGAAGAAATCAATTCATATGACGAGCGCAATAGGTCAATTGAAGATCTTTTTAAAGTCTAGTATTTTGGCATTTTGTTTGTTTTTTCTTTTCTTTTCTTTTCAGAAATGTGCGATATAATTTCTAAAATGCCCCAAAATAATTAAATTAATTTCAAAATACAATGAAGCTATTCACATGCTAGAAGAAATTAGCAACGATAATAATGATATCTGAAAATATCTTGCATACTATGACATTCAAGGTCTAGTAGCTATATGGCTTTTCCAGTGACAATTCACCAGTTACTAATGTCATTATTATTCTTTATTTCCTTACTACATAGTGTTATCACAATTATAGATTTTCAAAAAGAGAAAATGGTTTGGTATTACATATCTTACATATACATGAAAAATTAACACAAATATAATAAACAGATAGGACAGCAAGGACACACCTCTTGGTTTCTTAACTTAAATAAAAGCTAAACCCCCACTCCCCTTACAAATTTAAGTACAGTTTTGGACAATTAATAGGTGTACAAATTTATTTTTTTATAATACTTTTTAAGATATTAACTGTCAAGGCTCTGTATGGGCGGCTTATCAAACAAAATGTAATTCACCCTACAGATTTTTTTTTTTTACAATACGTCCACTTTCAATGCAAGATTATACGTGAAGACATTCTTATCTTGTTTGTTTGTTTTTAATTTGATACATACGTAAAAGAGAAGATACATGTTTTGATTTTGTCAATTTCTGTACTATGTGTCTGTGTTTTCTTAAAGCTTCTGCTTGTTATTTTTCAAATAAAATATGATTTAAACAAATCTATTTGTAAAAAATACATTTTGCTGAACAGTTAATTTCAGCCGAAAGATTTTGCAATTGTACTATTTTGTCTTTTCAAGCCAAATAAATCCAAGTCCGTGTTCAAAAAAAGGTTTTCTTTGATATTTACAACAATTATAGCGCTTACTAGAATATTATTGATACCAGCTAATGGCTTTCTTAGCCGGCTTTTATCGGAACGTCGAATTTTCAAAATAACAAATTTTATGACCAGAATGTTTTTAGACCAGCTAAAAAAAAATTAATTTATATAAACAAAATTTGTGATATTTGCATTAATACACATGTCCATGAGTTGAATATGGAAAATTAACTTGAATAAAAAGAGTGCTTAACAATAAAGATATTCAATGTCTAATCCACGTTGCAATTCTACAAAATTGTTTAAATAGTTTGTCAAATTACTTGTAATTAAAATTTAATATAAGGCATCAACAACATACATGATGAGCATAATTATATGAGAAATTTTCATGATTTTGTCCATTTTCTATAAAGTAATATACCAGGGAAGAGGGACGCTGTAACGACTTATAAACATATAGAACAATTTACCAAGACTAACAATAAAAAGGACATGACAGACTACTTACAGAAAAAGAACAAATCAGTACTAAATAAAAATATAACGTGGAGAAGTTAATGCAGTGCATTATTCCATGAAAATGCATTAAAAAGGCATCATTTTTATTCCTTATTGAAAATATTTCTACCCAATGTCACACAGAATAATCCTTTGAAGTGTCTTTCTTTCCCTTTTTTTAAATTAGAAAAGGTTGATTGATAAGTCATATTACCTTAAAAGTTACATTTATTACCGAATATTTTGAATTTTCTGAAAACTACTGAAGCTTGATAATAGGAATATAGAGTTTTGAAATAAATGTTAAGTCTTTACGTTCTACAACTGCATAGTCCAATATGAATATTTTTACTTCCATTTTAATTACACACTAATATGCAAATGTGGTACATTTTCAGAAAAGTAAAAAATGTCAAGGTTTTAAACTTGTTTCTTTTGGTAAATAAGGACTGATAACGTTAATGCATTTTATAATACCCCTGTTTGAAAATTGGGGTATATATTAAGAGGGGTGTACATTATCCTTGGGGATAACCATCCCGTATCTGCAACTTCTCTAACACCATGAAACTTTCACGAAATCTTTATTCCATAGTGGCATAGTGTGCATTTCATCTTACGTTTCGATAGGACTTATATTTGGGGTTTCCCATCACAAAACATTTACTTTGCCTTTCTTTCTATAATATTAGGGAAACCCATCTTTTATTTGCAATTCCTACTATAAAAAATAATATATATATATATATATATATATATATATATATAAAATTGAACGAGACTCGCAGAATCTTTATTTCAAAGTGCTCTTCCTATTTTACGTTTTGATCGGACAAATAATTGGAGTTTCCCATAACAAAAAATCGATTTTGCCATTATACTTGATAAAGGTGTATCCAATTTGTTACTGCAACCCCTCCTACACCCCAGAATAAAATTCAATGGAGCTTTCACAGAATCTCATTTACATAGTGCCAAGAAATGTACTCTGCCTTTTACTCACATGAGAGGGGGTGGAGTTATATTTTGTGAGCTTAGTGCTCACAGTACCTCTAGGTTTACATAGATTCACCCCTTCTAACATCAAACAAGTGGCCTTTGATTGTGTCTAACCCTTTTATCCATATTCTTGGGATACCCCCAACAGAATAGATGACTCTATTTATTTAAAGTCACAAGGTCAAATAATTTTAAGTTAAAAAAAATTCCAAATGTTAAGATCCTTTGCTTGATACATACATCAGACTGTGTACAATGGCTGCCTCTGTCTAGTAGATCATCCCTAGTTGTCCTTATATAACTATAAATACTCCAAATTGAAGCTGAACCTTTTCACTGTTACACCTAGGGACCATATATGTTTCATATACAATTCATATACAATTTTTCCTTCAAGTTATCTGTAATCTTCATCCTTTGGTTATGAACTATTTTCTGTTTTGAGTCCATCATGTGTAACAGGAAAGGAGAAAATGTATGACTGGACTAGGAATAGAACCCCAACCCCTGCATCACTACCCAGGTGCTCTCTGGGAACATAACATTTCACTGTTGACTACTTACTGATATAAAATAAGGAGAAAGTATTTGAAACTGAAGATAACAGTTTACTTAAGTGTAATAATCAGAACACATTAATAAACATATAAATGCAATTCAAAATAATTTCCACATATTCACATTTTCTTTCATACATCAAGTGTTGAAGAAACTAGAAGAATATTTCCCATTTTAAACAAGAAATAATAAATTTGTCCAATTTTAAATTGCATATAATTTGATTTACATTGTAAAACCAGCTCAAAAATTCAATACTGGATTGTAAGAGCTAGCGCTGTATTTGTACATGTATATTGTAACCAAACTACTCATACAGACCTTGAAAACAAGGAAGCAAAAAGTCAAATAAGAATAAACTGTGCATACATGTATAAGTAACGAGTTCTTTTATGATAGTGTAACAATAACTGGTCATGTCTAACAGTATTCAATTCATCAATGTAAGGAGTAAACTAATCCATTCATGTATGAATACATAATGAAATATGCTGAAATCAATTCAATATTTATTGCTCAGGAAAATATGGGAAATTCACAAATGTGCTTTCAATCACAATATAGTAGATACATTCAAATGATTTACTAACAACAAAATAGAATATGTGTATGATAAGTAATATTATAATATATGTGAAATAATTAAGCTTATAAATTATGCATATGGCAGAGAACTTAATGAAGAAAATAATATACCTACAATGCTTGCAAATGATTGCAGCAATAATAGTAAAAAAATAAAAATAGTTACCATGGTATGTAAAAGAGTAACAAGGGGCCCATGGGTCTTAACGGTCACCTGAGTATAAAACAACCCTGAGAAAATTTTCTAAGAAATAATGCATTTTCACAATATAATCAATAGAGCGAGCCCACCCTGACACCAGAATCCCTGACCCAGGATCCTTGAATTCAACAATTTTGAAAGAGGCATTCTTGCTCATCATAACCATGGCTAAGTTTGTCTGATAAATATACAAAGGGAGAGAAGAAGATTTTTAAAGAATTAATGCATATTCTCTATATAATCAAATGAGTTCTGACCTTACACCAGAACCCCTGACCAAGGAGCCATGAATTTCACAATTTTGGTAGAGGAGTCAATTCTTATTACAATCATGCCAACAATTTAAATGCGTGATGTTCAGGAGCAAAGGAGATTTTCAAAGATTGCATTAATTTTGATGGTTTTAGCCACACCCTCAGGCTCCAAGGGTAGGGACCATAAAACTCACAATTTTTGTTCCCCTTCACCCATTGATGCCTTATGCCAAAATTGGTTAAAACTGCCAGAGCGGTTTCAAAAAAGCAGCTCAAAATGTCAGTATGTTAACACAACATTGACAAGAGTGATTCGGGTGACCTAATAACAGTAATAATCTACACTCCTAGTAAACAATTCTATTATTGAAAGTTTCTCATTTCAATTCGTAAATATCACATGCTTGACAAAAAATTCAAACATATACTCATTCAATACTTAATTATATTTCTCTTCTCACAGGAGTGTGAAAATTGTGCTCTTTTCTTAAATTGATGATTAACAAATTCTTGTTCCACAAGTAAAATATACAATGCATCATGAAACTATTTGCTGTCATATAGGAAAGTTGATCTTTAATCCTTGTCAACCCTGCATTTGATTGTTCATTGCATTGGCTGTTTTTGGCAGACAATTGTGGGTACAAGGAAAAATCATAAGCAAGGCTTCAAGCTGAAATACAAGAAAAGTCAATGTTAAAATATGAATCATGAATAAATTAAAAAAACATTTTCAAATTCAAAAAAGAAGATTTGTGTACATGTGGAAGCTTCAAACATACAAACTCAAAAAAAGGTACATGTATAGTAATTCAATATACATGAATAACATTAAAAGAATTACTATTGAAAAATTTCAGTAAGTTTAGACTTCATCCTCAGGCAGAAATAGTCTAACTAGATATCATTGGGATAGTGACCATCTTAAGGGGCCTGCTATTTTTTGTAAGGGTCATTGGGATGAAATAGACATAGTGTAGAGGAATGTATTTGGAGCTTGACCTTGACTCTTGACTTACACCTTTACCCTTGGACACTCTTCGTGTGAGGTATGAGCCACAATGGGCCACAGGGAGAACATATGTTCATTACAAGGATTTTAAACAGAGATCTGCTATAATCTTGACCTTGAATCTATAAAATTGGTTCAAGGTCATTGTATACCCATAACCATTTAGCACTCTAACCATAAAACACATGTTAGTTTGGACCAAGGGGAGAGAAAATAAGCCCTAGACAATGATTTACACACTTTGACATTGCTCTTGATTGAATGAATTGGTTTAAGATACCTACACATCCTCTCTATTCACAAGCAATATGTGGCTGAAGATTTAGCAAAGATTGGGAAGGGGAAAGAAAATATGCTTTGCATGGATTTAAAACAGTAATTATTTTTTTTTTGGTACCTTAACCTTCGATTAAAAAACAGTATGAAGAAAATAAGGCAGAACATTCAAGAACTAAAATGTGGACTTCCTTATACCCCTATCAGAGCGGAAGGAGATGCCCGGTATAATAATGCCACCTTCAGTGCCACCTTCAGTGCCATTGGAAAAACCCCATTCCAAGCTGCCACCAAAGCGACTTAAGTGAAAATGTAACTCGGAGGAAAAATGTTGTGGCAGTGTTCTGTGGGAATAAACTATGCAAAAAAGGTGCACACCTAAGAAGCAAAGCAAAGGAAAGGAAGTTACCTGCCAAGGAACAAAGACTGCACTGCAACCATTCCTCCAGAGACCACCACTGGAGATGAGAAGTGATGGACTGCAAAATGTATTGGTGAGTTACAAAGTGATGATCGTCCCCTAGTCATTTCCCATTTCACCAGTGATGGAGAAAGTAAGCGCTGCATCTGAAAAACAAGGACATGTCATTGAAAACCTTAAAGACTTGCATCATTTCTTTGACTCTCAAAAAAAACAGACTGCTAAGGCTCCATTCAGCAGTCACATGTTTCTGGGAAGCACCAAAGCCATAAGAGAATCCATGCAGAGAAGATTTGGCTTGGACCTGAAGCTTCGATGCAGGACAGAGTACGAGACACCACTCTGGAGACTTACCTTTGATGAAGCGGACTATGTCTACTGCTGTCAGTTCCATCGTAAGTTGCTACAAAGGACAGTGTGGGAAGTCCTGTCAACTTTATTCCTTTTCCTGTCGTGGACTGAAAAGCAATAAGTGGAAATCTTCAGTGTTGCCTACTGACTTTGAATTAAACATGACAGAAGAAGACAAATGTTTGTTAAAAGACTATATAAATTTGACTTTAGGACCAAGTAATCTTGATAGAATTAAATATCATACTTGTACACAAAAATATGGATCTGTGAATAGGGCATATTTAAAATCAAATCCAAAATATATTACAAGAAGTAGAAATTTTGAAAGTAGAACATACAAAGTTGTGCACTCACTGAATAGGGGTCATGGAAACTCAACATTGGAACTTTGTGAATCTGCAGGGGCACTGTTGTAAAAGGAAGTAGAGTGGTCCATCATCTAAAACAACAACAAAATAAGCAAAATTACTTTAAAATGAAACAAAAACTGTTAAAATATAAATCTCAAAGAAAATACTTTACATCTAAAAGATATCAGCTGTACGATAAAAAATCTAAAGACACTTACAGTAAATCACCAACAGATCCAAAATTAAAATGAAAGTTGAAAGACCGTATGGTAATAATTGTTGCTATGTTTTATTATGCACTGATTCTATTCAACTGTGTAAATGGGGAAAATGTGGATATGTAAATGACGTATAAAATTGTACGTGTAAAATGTGACATTTTCTTTTACAAGGGAGTCTGTACCTGTAAATATGTTTGATTTTTTATCATTTATCTCATTAAAATTATTCTAATTTATTTTCTTGTTTTTCTTACCTGTCTGATGAACACAACAAAGGTTACGGAGGTGATTGGTAGAAATACATGTATACGGGTGTCAAAACTCTCTCTTGATGACCAGACTGCATCCCACATTGTATATCCACCATTATTGATCTTTAACAGGGGAGACTACTCCTGAAATCAGAGAAATTGCAGTCAAAATGAGAGTTACCTGTTACTCTTTAGGTCTCACAGAAGGAAAAAATTTCACTATATGTTACTATATAGCTTTAATTAATAAATTAATTAACTAGACTCTCAGCAGATAAGTCATGAAAGAGATAATAAAGATTAATACTTAAACAAAAATTTGAGATCAGAAAAAATAAGCCTTATGCGACTTTTAAGAAAAAAAGTTGAATGTAAACATACCTACCCCGAAATACATGTAGATTTCACATGTTGACAAACAGATCTAGACTTACACACCATCCAGGAAGTTGCTTCATGCACACCTAAAAATGAGTTCCCTTTAATTCAGTGGGACAATTGTGCTAAAGATATGATATACCTGATACATGAGTCCAAAATTAATACTGTAGGCCTAAAAACGATGCCGAAAATGAAAAAATAAAAAGAAATTGTCTCTAAATATATAGAACTATAATTAACTAAGTTCAATTTGATTGGCTATTTCCTTGCGTAAGACCTTTAAGTTGTCCATAAATTACACCTCTTGTATATACCGGTATTGACATTGAATTTTCAGTACATACCTGTATGACAATTCAAGTGCAGTCAATTGATGTAAAATTCTGAAGTCTGGAAAGACAAAGGGTCCGTCTTGAGACAGTAATGCTCTAATTTACAACATTTTCATTTATAATGAATTAGGTGCTGAAGAAAGTATAGAGTATGTGCCAATAAAATTCTCAATATTCAGTGTATATAATAGACATACTTTGCAAAATGCAAATATCAATCTCACAATTATTTAATTACCTTATCTAAATTATGTTCTTAAAAAATAGTGAATGGCACATTTGGTAACTCAAGGGACTCCATGACTTGAAAACCAGCAAAACATCTGAAATTAAACAGAACAAATATAATAATACTACTTATATAAGTTAGCATTTCAAATGATATCATGATTTTTTGTGACTGTTATATGTCAATAGTCTCATGCTACAGTTTGAAAACATGAGACCATGTGTGTTTGTGACTGTTATATGTCTATGGTCTCATGCTAAAATTTGAAAACATGAGACCATGTGTGTTTGTGACTGTTATATGTCTATGGTCTCATGCTAAAGTTTGTATACCTGAGACCATGTGTGTTTGTGACTGTTATATGTCTATGGTCTCATGCTACAGTATTGTAAACATGAGACCATGTGTATTTGTGACTGTTTTATGTCAATGGTCTCATGCTACAGTTTGTAAATATGAGACCATGCATGTTTAAGACTGTTTTATGTCAATGGTCTCATGCTACAGTATTGAGACCATGTGTGTTTGTGACTGTTATATGTCAATGGTCTCATGCTACAGTTTGTATACATGAGACCATGCATGTTTGTGACTGTTATATGTCAATGGTCTCATGCTACAGTATTGTAAACATGAGACCATGTGTGTTTGTGACTGTTATATGTCAATGGTCTCATGCTACAGTTTGTAAACATGAGACCATGCATGTTTAAGAGTGTTTTATGTCTATGGTCTCATGCTACAGTATTGTAAATATGAGACCATGCATGTTTAAGACTGTTTTATGTCAATGGTCTCATGCTACAGTTTGTAAATATGAGACCATGCATGTTTAAGACTGTTTTATGTCAATGGTCTCATGCTACAGTATTGAGACCATGTGTGTTTGTGACTGTTATATGTCTATGGTCTCATGCTACAGTTTGTATACATGAGACCATGTGTGTTTGTGACTGTTATATGTCTATGGTCTCATGCTACAGTTTGTAAACATGAAACCATCCATGTTTAAGACTGTTATATGTCAATGGTCTCATACTACAGTTTGTAAACATGAGACCATGCATGTTTAAGACTATTTTATGTCTATGGTCTCATGCTACAGTATTGAGACCATGTGTGTTTGTGACTGTTATATGTCAATGGTCTCATGCTACAGTATTGTAAACATGAGACCATGTGTGTTTGTGACTGTTTTATGTATATGGTCTCATGCTACAGTATTATAAATATGAGACCATGTGTGTTTGTGACTGTTATATGTCAATGGTCTCATGCTACAGTTTGTAAACATGAGACCATGTGTGTTTGTGACTGTTATATGTCTATGGTCTCATGCTACAGTTTGTAAACATGAGACCATGTGTGTTTGTGACTGTTATATGTCAATGGTCTCACGCTACAGTTTATAAACATGAGACCATGTGTGTTTTTGACTGTTTTATGTCTATGGTCTCATGCTACAGTTTGTATACATGAGACCATGCATGTTTGTGACTGTTATATGTCAATGATCTCATGCTACAGTATTGTAAACATGAGACCATGTGTGTTACTGTTATATGTCAATGGTCGCATGCTACAGTTTGTAAACATGAGACCATGTGTGTTTGTGACTGTTATATGTCAATGGTCTCATGCTACAGTTTGTATACATGAGACCATGCATGTTTGTGACTGTTATATATCAATGGTCTCATGCTACAGTTTGTATACATGAGACCATGCATGTTTGTGACTGTTATATGTCAATGATCTCATGCTACAGTATTGTAAACATGAGACCATGTGTGTTACTGTTATATGTCAATGGTCGCATGCTACAGTATTGTAAACATGAGACCATGTGTGTTTGTGACTGTTATATGTCAATGGTCTCATGCTACAGTTTGTAAACATGAGACCATGTGTGTTTGTGACTGTTATATGTCTATGGTCTCATGCTACAGTTTGTAAACATGAGACCATGTGTGTTTGTGACTGTTATATGTCAATGGTCTCATGCTACAGTTTGTAAACATGAGACCATGCATGTTTAAGACTGTTTTATGTCAATGGTCTCATGCTACAGTTTGTAAATATGAGACCATGCATGTTTAAGACTGTTTTATGTCAATGGTCTCATGCTACAGTATTGAGACCATGTGTGTTTGTGACTGTTATATGTCAATGGTCTCATGCTACAGTTTGTATACATGAGACCATGTGTGTTTGTGACTGTTATATGTCTATGGTCTCATGCTACAGTATTGTAAATATGAGACCATGCATGTTTAAGACTGTTTTATGTCAATGGTCTCATGCTACAGTTTGTAAATATGAGACCATGCATGTTTAAGACTGTTTTATGTCAATGGTCTCATGCTACAGTATTGAGACCATGTGTGTTTGTGACTGTTATATGTCTATGGTCTCATGCTACAGTTTGTATACATGAGACCATGTGTGTTTGTGACTGTTATATGTCTATGGTCTCATGCTGCAGTTTGTAAACATGAAACCATCCATGTTTAAGACTGTTATATGTCAATGGTCTCATGCTACAGTTTGTAAACATGAGACCATGCATGTTTAAGACTATTTTATGTCTATGGTCTCATGCTACAGTATTGAGACCATGTGTGTTTGTGACTGTTATATGTCAATGGTCTCATGCTACAGTATTGTAAACATGAGACCATGTGTGTTTGTGACTGTTATATGTCAATGGTCTCATGCTACAGTTTGTAAACATGAGACCATCCACGTTTAAGAGTGTTTTATGTCAATGGTCTCATGCTACAGTCTGTAAACATGAGACCATGCATGTTTAAGGCTGTTTTATGTCAATGGTCTCTTGCTACAGTGTTGTAAACATAAGACCCTGTATGTTTGTCTGTTCATAGGTGTCAAAGTGTGTTGTCATATTTTCCTCATTTGTAAACTGGACATTTTCTTCTTAATAATGAAATAATTAATATCAGGGACCTATATACTAGTAGGTCCCTGGAAATATGGTTATATATTTTTTAGTCAATTTTTATCATACCTGCCTTCTCCATTTTAAAATCTGTTTACAATGCTTCAGAACCCTCACTGCTCCATGGCCCTAAAGACAGAACTAAAGTCTATATTTAAGGTCTAAATTTAAGGCTTGATACAAGTAAAATAATTTCATAATCGTAAGGCTTACATTATAACCGGATATGATTAGGGGAAAATAGATGAGAGAACCCATTCCGGTGAGCAATAGCCTCGTTTTGAGTTAGATGAGACCATGGTCTCATAGCCTGTTTCTATAAGTAAATATACCTCAGGAACTTCATTATAAGAACAGATGTAAGGGACAGATTAATATATGAATAATATTTACGGGGTTATGGCGATCCATTGATTCCTTTATTTAATTGTTGTGGGAATAAGGAAATATTTTGATCTCGTCTGATCCCTGTTACAAACAGAGATTATTTTGATATTTACAATATGTTATGAAATAACAATGAATGATTCTTCACTTGTGATCAGTTAATCGGTGCATTTAAAGGACATGTGATTAACAAATTACAAAAAAAAAAAATCAATAGATGATCGTTTGTCTGGATTTATGTACAATCAATTTTTTAGCCACAGACACTCCCCATTTTTTTTCTTTAAATCAGATCTAGAAGTTTAAATAGGCACAAAAATTGCCATTTATTCTGTAGGCATATTGACCTAGCATTATGTAAATCATTGTGCTTATGTACATGCATGCTTGCTGCATGTTATTTTAAAAATCAATAGATCTAACAATATTATTTTTCTTAACCTAATGTACATATAAGAACCTATACGTTGCATTTAAATGCACACTAGTGCATAAGGTCAAGATTAATTAGTGTTACAGTGTAAAAAAGGGATTAAAGAAATGTTGTAGAGTCCATACAGGCTTGAAAAAATATACTTATATATCTCAAATGGTGAAAGAAGAATTATGGAAAGGAATCACACACTTTTTTCATATCAATACACAAGTCATATATATATATTTTTAGTCTTTTTAAAAGTATTTTAAGTCAACTTCACTCAACAATCACATGGATTAAGGTATGTCACTCGCCAGCTTTAGAGTAAAGTTTGGGTAGAACTTCTAACTTCAAAATTATTTATTAAAATTCAGATTTCATGACATATTTGAATTAAACAATGCACTGAAATATTCAATTTGACTACTGCTCAAAAAATTGTAAAGAAACAAGATTTATGGGGAACCCAGGCAATCCTGGAGAAGATCCATGGAAATGGAGGCAAAAGAGGCAGGTTTTACCTGGGCCCAAGTGAAAAATATAGCCCAAAACGGAGTCCGTTGGTGCGGTGTTGTTGCTGACCTATGTACCCCCAAGGAGCGAACAGGAATAAGTCAAAGTAATTAAGAGCATTTACGATGACACAAACCAAAGTATACCACCAAATGTTCATTACAAAAAATCTTTTTATTTTTGAATTTTAAAATATCTTGAATTTTTCTTTTTAACTTGCAGTTGCGTGTATTATAATGAAAATAAAATAAAAATAAAACCCAGTGTTTAAAATATTTTGCAAACACAAATACAACATATGAATTTTAATTTGATTGTTAACCTTGTTTTGTAGTGATAACATTTGTACTGTTTTTAATGCCCACTGTTTTCTTTTACGTTTCGATTACATAACGTAATCTATGTAATTGAGGCCTATGTTACTTCGTTATAATAGTATTAAGCACAATTTAAATCTTCAGATAAAAAAAAATCAAGGATAAAATTATTAAATAACTTCTTAGATAGAGATTATCGTGTATATATAAATTGATATAATGATTAATTGATAAGTGATAGACAAGCCAGTAGAGAACGTATAGATTTCAGTATCGATTCATGAATGTTTGACGATAAATATTGTCCGTGGTGTCAAATATCTTAAAATGATTACAATTCATGAAGAGTGAACTTACCCAATATATAAAAGAAAGCATTTTTAATATAAATTTATCAAAAAAATTTTTTTCCTTCAATCCTTGATTAGGGAATACACTCGCATCAAGACAAATTCAAGGGGGGGGGGGGTTATGGCGTATGGACAGGAGCAGTGGATGGTGATATACAATGCAAAAACTTGCCCATCATCATCAATCATCATAATTTCCGAAAAAAAAACTTGTCTATGGTGTTTTATCAATAGGATAGCAAGGAAGATTACACAATGTAAATAACATCTTGTCTATAGTAGTAGGCAATTTCAGACGTTTTTGTCCTGATAAATTTATCTGTTCGATCGAGAAATACTGAAGTGTACACAGAACGTAATGTAAAATAAACACAGAGGCATCTACATAATACATTTTGTTTTTCCACGATAACGTACATGTAGCTTACAATTAAACTTAAAACGACGGTTCAGAAACATAGAATAAAGATGTTCGCACGAAATCCTTTGTCCCCGATGTATAATTATATTACTTAACAGATCAGTAAATATTATTAAACTTTTGGATATTAGTAAGTGAGATATGATTTTTTTTTTTCAAAAAAAGTGACAAAAGACACATTTATAATCGGCAACATAGCTTACGGCACCTTTAAGGATATCCGCTCCTCAGCAAGGAACCATAACTCTTAAAATTATTATTTACTTTAAAAAGTCTCAAAATGAAGCTTGAAATTGAAATCTTTTCGTGCAATAATTTTCACTTCATGCATCTCAAAATGATTCAAAGTTCTTTGAAGTCTTCGAAAATTTATATATAAAGTTAACAGTTGTACCCCATAAAAGTACAAAAAGAAACATTTTTAGAGTAACCAAATTTCCTTTTACCAGGCCTTTGATGCTTATTAGCATGATATGAAATTAGAAGTGAGTCTTACAATGATCGATAGCACATGCTTTTTACACAATGTATTACATAACAATTATAATTGAAGTAAATAGAAGAACTAAAGTTAAACACATAAAAAATGCAATTTTCACAGAATGCCTGGATACCTGTATTTGTTTATTCTGAAATATATTTCTGGATTAATTTTCAATTAGAAAATACATAGCTTTTGCCTTTATTCGTGTTTCCTGAAAAAAAAAAATTGACATTAGATGATTTTCCCTATATAAAATATGATTAACTATAATGATGAACTTTGAAGAAATACGTGTAACATGAGTAAGTAAACTTTACTTTGTTAATTTAGAGACATTTTCGAGAGCATTTTCCTTTACTTAGTTGGCCATTTTCATAACCTGAGGATCGAACTACCTTAAGCAACATGAAGTCAAGCTGAAAAATGAGTACCGAATATGGTTGCACATTATTAGTAAAATACTTGCCTGCATTATGTGTCGTAGATGCAATGAATAGGCCCTGAAAGATACGGCAGATTTCACAAATGCGGAAATTTAAGATACCTGATTGACGCGACACGCAAAATTTGGCAAACTTGATAGGTTTTCTGCTTTGTATTTCACAAAATGATTTCTAAAGAGGTTTTTGTTCTCATTCTGTATGTATGCAGAGTTACATTTGAATGAAAAATAATGATTACACATACTTTTTAAATACGTCATGTTTTTCAAGTAGGGCCAGAAGACATGCATTCTGTCAAAATGCCCACTTATTCTGAGAATGGGTAAACAATAATACTTTGTTTTTCTTCAAATATTTGTCTTTCTCGTACCGCTTTCAACTGCATAATCAGCTAGGGACTGTGCACACAACATGCACAATGTAAACAATTTCAATGTGTTTTAGTCTGCTTGTTACGATAAGGACGTATACGATAGGGTATCCTTTAGTACCACAACATTGGCTTCTTATCCACATACATGTATCGCTCTCTCTCTAGGTATAGAGTCAGGCCCGTAGGAAGCAAATTCAGTTGGGGGGGGGGGGCACAGCCATACATTTTCAGTTGACAGTTGAGGAGGCACTACCAAAAAAAATTTCCTGACAAGCAAAAAAAAAAAAAAAGGTCATCAGACGTTTTTATTGAGGGGGCACAAGCATACAGTATCTATGCTCACTATAGTAATGTATATATCGGCAAAATTATTGGGGGGGGCACGCCCCCCCCCCTCCGTGCCCCCCGGTTCCTACGGCCATGTTAAGAGTACTTTATTAAGTATTATAATTATATCAATATAGAGAGTGAGCAATATGTGAAACCACAAGCAAATAACCCAGAAAATTTTTGTTATGCCCCCTTGGCTTCCCCGGACCGTGTATGTCCCCCTTAAAACGGAGAATCAACTCAAATGGCTTTATAGACCTGTCTTTATTGATCGTACGAATTTTGGATCCGCTCCTTATGTCGTACCGCTGCATGAGAGATTTCTTCTTCCCTTTTACCAATTGAATAATAACCTCTATGGATGGGAACCGGGGAGGGTAGGATGACTGTGTTATTTCTTTTTCCTTCAAAAATACACAGACACAAGATTATGCGTAATTATCAGACTATTTATAAGTACCAACAAATTTTCGACTTTCGTTTTAAAAACTGTATGGCAAGCACTTATTGCATTCTTTCAAACACATGACAACAATTCAACATATTACAAGACTTTATCAATATTCAACATTTATCTTAAAACCATCAACAATAATTCGGTCCATTCCGAATAAACATTTAAAATAAGCTGACACAGATAAAAACGATGTACATCATCGCAATTTTCTAGCATACATTGTAATCCAAATGCACCTCCATATAGTGTATCAATTGACAGATAACACAGAAATAGTATTCTTAAATCGAAAGCTGCATTGATACACGTAAGTACTGTGCCTCATCTCTGAATAAACTTTTATTCTCTAGTACAAAGCTAAGATTCCTCGAAAAATATCAGCGTGATTTTTTTTTAGAGAGAGAGAAACAATGAGAAAGAGGGGTGAATAAGAGCAATGGAGCGTTTGATAATTAGTCCGATGGTTAAATGAGAGGAAGCGAATGCATTTATAGATTCTAAATTCAGTAAAAGGAAATCCTGAAATTCACAATTTAATAAAATCTTAATTAAAATACTCGACAGCCATTTTCATTCATTAAAACCTTTATTTTTTATATGAAATATTTTGATGTTTCAAAACGAAACTAAATTTCGAGGAATGAAATGTTAAATAAGATCGCAGCTTGTGTCATTAAAAACCACGTGCAATTAATGATGGAAATTTTATAAGTACATGGAAATCTGAAAATGTTACTAATGTTCAAAAACTTTACATGTCTTTGTTATCTAAAAGATATATATTGTCACATATACCATTGCATGCATGCCAGTATTGATACGTAATAGATACAATTTCGATCAAAGTTAGGGTTTGCATATAGGTCAATGTATTTAACGTTATCTGTTTTCCCTTATACATAAACAAAATATTCATTTTAATTATTAAAAAGCAACCATGACGTCATAATGCTAAACTGGTTGTGAAAATTGAAACAATGTTCTTGAATGAGAGAATGAATAAATGATTATAATTCGGACAGGTGTGCAATATGCTAAGATAACCACCTTTTTTATATAAACAATATACTGATCAACCAACATGATTGTATAATATCAATAGTAAACTTTTCAACTGTTCTCTCGTTTGCTAAGTACATGTACTTAGTTATTTCTACTGCTGGTATCCAATCTTCAGTAAGATATGTTGCAATTCATGAGTGCTATAGATACGAAGACTTATATAAGGAAATTCGTCTCTCAGCTCATATTATAAACTAAATGTTGGTATCCAAGAGTAAGATTGTAATTCATGAGTGCTATATATCCGAAGACATATACATGTATAAGGAAATTTGACTTTCAGGTCATATTATAAACTGAATGTAATGAAATAAAATAAAACGGAAAAGCGTACTTATTTTTTTTGATATCGACATTAAGGACTTTCCTGTTGTTGCAGATACATTGTATCACAATGGCAGAAACAGAATTCGAGGTTGTGGCCCCTTCCAACATTCCACAGGTGTCTCTCGCACCGGACCAGTTGTCCCGGAAGTTCCTTATGTGTCATGTCTGCAATGAGCAATATAACGAGGATGGAAAACACCCCCGTCTTCTCCCCTGTCTTCACACACTCTGCTTCGATTGTCTCAACAAGACCAAGGTTAATGACGAGCTGCAATGCCCAACGTGCAAGATAAAGCACTCCGTGACCAATGTAGACAAAGTCTGTCCACGAGACAACACGCGTCGTGACCTTATGGATTTTGTCAAGGTCAAACGAGCGCCGTCTGCTGTATCCTGCAGCTCCTGTCCGTCAAACGTTGCAACGCACAGATGCCGAGAATGCGCCGAGTTCCTGTGTGTGGAATGCCAAAAAGCACACGAGCGGGTAAGCGCAACTAAGGGTCACACCTTGATCCTATTGGAGAAGCTGAAGCAATCACAAGACCTTGACGCTTTCTGCCGACAGTTGATGTGCAGTGATCATAATAAAGATCTTCAGCTCTACTGCACCAAGGATACCTGTCAGAAACCCGTCTGCATGATGTGCGCCATTGTTACCTGCAAAGAATCGAACGGACATGTGATCGAGAGCGCTGAGACTGTCGCAAAAGAAAGACGGAAGGACATCAAAACCCAAAAGACGTCCATGGAGAAGGTCGGCAAGGAGGTGGAACAGGTCATTGGTGACGTCAAAAGTGAGCAGCGAAAAGTCGACGATCTGCGCAAGAAGGTGGAGGGTGAGATTGATGAAACATTCGACAAACTGATACAGATCATTGAAAGGGGTAGAGCGGATCAAAAGAAAGCTTTAGAAGACAGTGTCATGACTAAACAAGACAACCTGAAAACCCAGGAGAAAGAGCTGAAAAGAATGAAGGGTGAAATAGAAGAATCAAGCAATTTCACCGATCAGGCTCTCGCTTACACAAACGCCGCGGCATTATTGCAGGTATATACATGTATTGTGAATTCTTAACTAGCAGTAATGGCTCCTTCGTAAACCATGTTAATTGTAGTAAAACAAAATGCATTTTAATAATTTAGAAATAGGTGTCATTCTCGAACATTTATTTTCTTCAAAGTTACAATCGGGTGTCAAAGAAAAAAGTCAAAATGAGATCTAGAAAGATTTTTTTTTATTTTTAGATTGACCATACCATTGACAATAGACTGAATGCGCTGACTAAGCAATTCTTTGATAAGGAGCCACATGAGATGGCTACTTTCGGTTTTCATGCTAAAGGTTTAATCTCTGAAATCCAAAGCAAGGTTGTGGAAATGGCTAAGGTCTGGTCCGTATCGGCCTTCCCGCCAAACTGCAAGATTGGGCTAGAAGAGGAACTAGAAGAGAATAAGTCAACAACCTTTGTCGTCAATCTGAGAGATTTCCAAAAGAAAACACCCTTCAAAGACTGCGATTTAGACGTATGTGATGTAAAGGCAGTTGTGAAAGATCCAAAAGGTAACATATTTTGCATCTCTAAGGCGTTTGAATTTTATGACGTGTTTGCATTTGTGAAAATTGCGTCAAATACCCGGTACTCAACAATCTTTGAAAGTATACAAAAAACATGCATATCTGTGTTATTTATTTGTAAGAAAGTGTGATGATAGAAGGAAAATCGTAAATATTGTGGATAAAACACTGTTTCTAATTACCTTTTTCACTGACATTTGATCGACTCTGTATTAGGTACCGAGACCGAAATTTTGATGAAGATGAAACATGGAAGCAAGGATGAAATGGAGGTTACTATCAAACCAGCCATATCAGGACGACACGTTCTGGAAATCAAAGTACTGGACAGAGTGGTAGTCAGAAAAGAGTTCGAGTGTAAACCAGGTACATATATAGACAGACACTATTTTTTGTATTTAATGATCTTTTTTTAAATTCCAATTTATGTACATGTAATACATAATGCTAGAGGTTTTCATTAACAGCTTTACATAATTATGCAACAAATGTCTTTGCAGACTTGAAAGGATCCAGTATGGGTTTTTTGCATTGAAATGTAATGATTTTTTTTCTTTGAAGCTGTCGTAAGAAGTGCCAGCAAAAAAGAACCACCACCGCGCAAGGAGACCACTCCAAAGAAGGACCCTCCAATTAATCCTAAGCCACCTGGAATACAAAGTAAGGATTATCATGTTTTTATTATTTTATGTGAATCTACAGAGCTGCTTAAAAATTCAGCGATTGTATTTAAATACCTAATTTTTTTCATCTTACTTTTTTTGTAGAGCCGGACTTGACCTTTGATAAAAACAAGGCCCACAGAGATGTATCTATTTCTCCTGACGGGAAGATCTTCAAGAACCTTTCCTCTGGAGAGCAAACGGAATTAGTCCCGAACAACAGCCGTCTGCAGAAATACAAGGGCGCAATTTGCTCTTCAGGTCTCCAATATCCCGGAAGATTTAAATATGCTATAAAGATTGGGATCCATGTTAAAAAGCCTCTGGACAAGAGTAACCTTGTGTTTGAACTGGGAATCGCAAGGAAGTCCGTCATTGGGAAGAGTTTGGTTGTGGAGGGAGAGAAGTACGCATGGTCGATGATTGGCGCGCATCACGTGGATTGTGACGCAATATGTTTACACATTGCCCATAACAACCACTTGCTGTATCATGAGGTCCTTACATCCAATGCCGCCGGAAGTTCCATGGAAAGAACCTTCGGTTTTCTTTTGGACACTGAGTTTGGTCAATGGAAAGTCTTCGACAAGAAGCTTGAGAAGGAGATTTGCGTAGTAGAGGCTGTTGACTGCTCCGAGTTGCTCTATCCTGTTGTTGCTGGGTACAATCCAAGTAGCGTTGAGGTCACAGCAACTATCGTTCATGTTGATTAGAACGAAAGTGCAAAAATGATACAAAATATGCAAGCCAAAAAGCATGAACTATACTTTTACGATCTTGGAAGCTATTTTTTAAAGGCTAGAAATGGTTGAAGTGAACATATGTACGATAAAAAACATTTTTACTTTCGTTCTAGGAGTTGATTCGTTGTTTGTTTTATTGATAGAAGTTTTTTTAATTCAATTTACTTATCTATGCATATCTTCTTTCTGTTTTCTTACGAATAGAGGTTTTTTTTTAATTTTCGATTTGTTGAAGTTGAATTTGTGTGATTTTGGAATTGTTTTAATACACAGACAAATGATTTCTTTATTCATTCCTATAGATAGACAGTGTTATGCACTAGAAGCTATTACAATCGTCCAACTACCTTGCATATCCTGCACACATATTTAAACATATATTGAAATCTTTTAATTTTTACATATTAATATATTGTGTACAATCCACATCCTTGCTGTGTGTGTACACATGTTATCTGTAGTATTTTTTTTTAAATATCGCGGTTTTTATCTGTTATTTTATTTCGATAGAATGATAAGATTGCCTTGTTTTATGTAAAATCATGTTATTTAATTTCTTATATATAAGCTATTTATAGGAGCATTCCATAATTTTGACATATAACCATATTATGCTTGCTTTCCATTCATTTATGAATCATGGTGATTTGGATTTGAAATACATGTATATTTACTTTTATCTCACTGATTCATATGGTAAAACATGGTTTGTCATATTTCTGTAAATCTTACAATAAACTTTTTAAATATTCATTAATAACTACATGTACACGCGTGAATTAGATTTTTATTTCATACGATGAATGTTTATTGTTTTACAAATATACATGCATATGTCATTTACATAGCGTCATCTTGTAGCTAATACACAAAAGGGTTTGTATTATTGGAAAGATTAAATAATAAACTATACAATCAATGCCTCTCTCTTTGTATTTTTTAAAGCAATATGAGCTGCATTTTTGAGAATTTTATTTTGCTGTTAAAATGTGCTGTTATGACAAATCTGTATGTAATTTAAACTTTGTGATCAATTAGACTAAAATAAAGTATTAAATTTGTTTTAGAAGAAAGATTTCTGTACAATGGAATGTATAGTGTTATATAAGAAATCAATATTGTACAGGACGACAATAATGTAAATTTGCTTCTATCAAAGCTTGTAAACAGTTCCCTCCATCGCAAATAAGAACAACAAAGGCTTATAAACGTTCGTTTTTCTGTCATTGAAATAGTTCATTTCAATATTGCAACAAAAATTTCCGACATCAAAGTTGTAGCTCATATTGCTTTAAATTTTATTATAACGTTTAAACTTCGGGTCTGGTACCAACAGGAGAACTGTTACATAATATTGAGCAGCCATCTGTATTAAATCTGAAATTCTTTTCCTCTGAATGTAAGATTCGGGTAATTTATGCCCTAGGTTAGAGGTCAAAGGGTGGGACCAAGTTTATATTATATTGAAAGAACATTATATACTTTTCAAAACTGCATTAAGAATTCAGGGTGGCTTATTTAGTTAGTTAGTTTGTTGTTTAACGTCCCTCTTAAGAATTTTTCACTCATATGGAAACGCCACCACTTGCCGGTGGAGGGCTGCAAATTTTGACCTATACTCGGCTCTGAGGGCCATTGAGCAGTGAGGGATCTTTTTTGTGCCACCACCTACTGCGACAGCGACGCGGGACCTCGGGATCGATTTTTACCGTCTCATCTGAAGGACCAGTCTCCACGTCCCGCAGTAGGATTCGGGCCCGCGACATAAGAATTCCTTACTCCGTGATTCTAGAGCAAACCCTCTAACCACTGCGCCACGCAGGCGACAACATATTTAGTCATATATTTTTAAAAAAAAACTTTACACCTTTAAAAATCTTCTTTACTTATGGATGTTCAGCATACAATGTGTATGCATTTAAATGATTGAAAAATTAAACCTTATGAATAGTGAAAATCAAATTGAATGTGAATTGCATGTAATAATCTAAAACTTTTGTTTAGAATCCATTATGAAATGGATGAAAGTGAATACATGTATATTTACTTTATTCAATGGTCCTCAAATAATCAAACTGAAAACATGCTTTGTAATCTTACAGATATATTCTGTATCTTTGATTAATGCTTTTTTAAGGGAAAAAAAGTTTTTAAACGCTTCAAAAATTAATCTATATCTTTTAAGAATTCAAAGCACACCAAAAAGAAAAAATATAAAAGGTTGAAAGTATTACCATTAAATATATTTAATAATGATTTGGTATTAATAATTTGGAATATATGTAATTGATAGACAGGAAAATTGAACATGAAAATGTAAAATATGGTTGCGTACTTCATTCGTAAACACATTATGACAATATGTAATTTCTCCATAATTGCATTAAAAGTGGTTGAATAAAATCAACGATAAAATTAATTGAGGATTTCAAAATCTTCCGGTAAATCAGAAATGACATAGGACTATAGAGAAAACAAGTAGAGCTTTTTCAAAAAGCTTACCGTCTTTAGCAACAACCTTAAACAGTAAACTGACCTAAACCTATCAGGCCGTATAATTCTTGAAAAATTCTTGGCTTTGTATTTGATTTTCTTTATTAGTTTTTTCTGACATAAGCCCTACCGAGTGAAAGGTTAACAGATGCTCGAACTTCGACTCTGCTGCCGAGATCACCCGGCAAACCTCGGGTGATTCCGTCACCGTTGTGATATGTAGAAGAGATACGAATCGGCCGAGGTGTGCCGAGTGCTGCCGAGATTAGAAAGACAGTGCAAAACAAAGGGGAAAAGAATACATACAAGCTGTAAAGCTTGCATGCAGTAAAGATCAATTCTGTTAACAATGAAAATATAGAAACGTTTTTTGGTAATTGCTATAAAAATACTAGTATTTTATTTCGAATTAATTACTGCTAATTTCCACTGTTCGTTTTGTCATATTTTTTTACGATTGAAAATCTTGAAAAATTGTTAAGTCGTTCGAAAATTAGATCATCAGAAAATTATCTCCCTTGCCTTGAACAGCATTTCAACCAATGAAATAATTGAAAATTTTCTCATCATGCAATTTCTACCAATCACAAAAGAGAGGAAGCGCATAGTCCGAAGACTGTAAAATACTTCAAATCTGTATACCGTCTTCCAAGGAAGACGGTAAAACATGAACATTGAGGAGGAAAGCGGGGGCATTAAGGTTCTCCACTGCGTTATTATATGTCCTTCAATCCTTATTTATTGTTTTTTCCTTCCTTTTTTCCTCGTATAAAAATTCTTTTTGGAAGTCGATTTTGTATTAAGAATCAAAGAAAAAAGAGTTAAAAGCCACAGGAAGCTGATAATTCCAGATAAATTTTAATGGTAAGAACTTAGTGAATTAAGCTCGAAATACATGTAAAAGTGATCAACATACAGCATATGATTGTTGGAAACGCTCTCCAGGTACCAACAAACATTAATGTGCAAATTGCATGCAGTTTGAATGGAGGAGGCAATGTATGAAACTAGCGTGATGAACATTTAAAATATTTTTTCAAGTAGATACATGTATTACTGTAATTGATATATCGTACAAATTCCTACTTTTTTGAGTGGACTACAATGTACACTGTACATGTATGTACATGTACAAACACTGTACATGTACATGTATGTACATGCATGGAATACTATGAACAAAAATTCTGCTCCTATTGTTCATGCACTGCCACTGATTTCTCGGATCACATAAAGAATTTTGCAAATAAACATCTGCTTATATTTATCATAACCTTATGTCAGTTGACTGTTTTCGTTCAATATCCTCAATACATATGTTAACATGTGTAGAAAGTCACCTTAGTTGTGTTATACACATACTACTTGCTGCAAAAATTGCATAAATTAATTTTGAACGTTGTACGTATTGATTGTTAGTGTTCACAGCCTTTAAAGCACATCTTTTCTTTTCTTCATTTTTCTTCACTGTTCAAAGAAAAGTTATAATATTCATTAGCAACATTGCTGAATACTTTCTTCCGTCGTTATTTTGTGCGACGATTCTTGTGGAAATGTAGAATAAATCTCAACGAAATAAGATAAAGGTGACCATCAATGGACTCAACAAATCTGCTATGTTAATTATCGCCGAGGACACAATGGGCAGACTTTTTCAGAGTTTGATCATAGCGTCTGTTATAAATGTGTCTACTCAATGTACACGGCATCATGAATTTTCTTATGGTGGACATCTGTACGGTTTGTATATGCGTGTGATCCCTCTACATAAATCATGCTTAATCAGGAAATATGTTAGATCCATTTACACGTAGGACATTTTTTTAAAAATATATAAATGGAAAGACATATTAATATTATGCATTAGCACCTTTACGGCTTAATATATGAAAAGCCCAACATTTTCTGATGTGTTAATTAACAATTTGTCACAAGCTCCTTTTAATGAATATTTAAAAAAAAAAAAAACACATGTGATATGAAGAGATAAGTTCATAATGATGAATGCAGAACTCAACAATCGATACTTCAAAAAGATTTTTTTTTAAAATCATTTACAATAATGAACCTTGAAATATTTTCAAAACATGTACGATAATGCAAGTATTGATGTGTGTGGTTCAAAAAATATAAACAATATACACTAGTCTAATTGAGAAAAAAGGAATTATTCTCTAGTAAAGATTGGTATCGGGAGTAAAGCCATAATCGTTTCGAGCTAATTCTGAAAACTGGCTCTCGAACCTCTCAATAAAATATTTTAGGCCCCTCAAAATGGGGCGCCACCTGGAAGGAATGCGATGGTAAAAACCAGTCTCCTATCGACCTGCGCTGCTCCACCTGCCGTAAGAAACACTTCAGACTTCGATTCAACAACCATGGCGAGAAATGTGACGGGTACCTCATTAACAACGGTAACGTAGTTTGAAGTTCTTTTATTCAATTTAAATTGAAATTTTGATTGAAGTTCTTTTTTTTTAATTTAAATTTAAATTTTGATCTTTTTAAGTATTTACTGAATAAATTTGCAGATCACGGTATTACTCACACTGGTATATATCTACGTGCAAAAGAAAAGAAATCGAATTAGAGATTAATTTACGTGTGAGGAATTTATAGAGAAAAAAAACTGAAAATTGAAAAGGATAAAGTATGCAGTTTTAACTGTTTACATGTTTTAACCTCAAACCTATGACATGAAAAATGATAATTAAATGTTTATTAAGCTGTACCTATATAACTCGTCGAATAAAATATTCCACTAAATAAATGAAATTTTACTTAATAAGAATTTAATAATCTCTGCCCGCTGGTGCCTGAGGAGTGGGGTCAAAACCATCAAAATAAATAGTCTTCGAACATCTTTACTCATAAACATCAAGCAGTTAAACTAAGGGCGGGATTATTAATAAGCAATGAGCCTTTACCCAAAAAATGCTTGGCCCCTGGGTACAGGTTCCAGGGTTGGGCTAAGTTGGTGATATATTGAAAATGCATTATATGGTATAAAATCTTCTTCTTTACTCATGGACATATAACAGACAAACTGTTTACATGATTATATTATATATAAGACAAGATGTCTAGGAGAATTAAGCAACCCCTGTCGACTGGTCACACCCACCACGCGTCTTCTGTACTTGACTGGTAAACGGACAAATCCTTAGTAAAATTTTGTATAAAAACAAATGCCTACCCAACGATATAGGCAAGCAAGGTCATTATATCGACCATAGAATTTGCAGAGAGCTGACTTTAAATGAGATTTTCGAAAGGTCTGTAGCTCTACATGTAACTTATATGCCAGAATCTTGTGTCGCTCTAAAAATTGATCTTACTCAGAACTTGCTTTTATGTATCGAATCAAATGAAAGTATAAAGATGATAGTGCAATTTTAGGGGGTCATGTCGTTTTCCTTTAAAATTTATTAATTGTGTTTTAGCCATTTACATCTATAGTCATAATCATCCAAATATGAAACAGATGTGGTTAGATCTGACGTGTCTTTATTCCGAGTTCACTGGGATATATACTGCTAAAAAAAAGAAAAGCATGATAGCAATAATATCCTGAATAATATAATATAACACTGTAGTTTTGTCATGCAATGTTTTTTTCAGATGGATATGATTATTTCGAGTAAAATGCATTATTTTTTTTAACGTTTTTGTTAGCTTGACAGCCGTTTACAAAACATGAACACAGACAAAATGACCTGATTTTGCAGAATAAAATTTGGCCTTTTTTATTTTTTATTTTTTATACTTTTCATTTGTTGGTTTCTGGTACTCATCTTTCAGGTACAAAAGGGGAATCAAAACCCTTGGGTTTTCGATATTTTGATTCTGTTTTTTTTCCCCTGAAAATTGACACCATTTAAAAATGCTGCATCTGAATGTTGCATATCGCAAAAAGGAAACTGGGCGACTGGAAGCAGGTGTTACACAGTCTACAATTGCAAGAGGTATTAATGTTGCACAAAGCACCATATATAACCTATAAAACAGATACCGACAGCTTGGTACAACAAATGATCGCCAAAAATATGGCAGACCACGCGTGACATCAGCAGCATGGATCGCCTTAGTGGTTTGCGTAATTTTCATCAACGTTTCCCAATGACGTCGTCTATAGCAATAGCTAGCCCTGAACTGCACAGAATAACAAAACTATGCGTACGGAATACTGGAATCATCGCCAGAGGACTTATATGTATGCCATTGTTCTGACCCCACAACACGGCAAATTCGACTTCAAAGGTCTCAGACCAACAGCGTATGGCCACAGCAACACCGCTGAACAGTTTGGTTTAGCTACTAGTCCAAAATGTTTATTGCAAAGCCTGATGTACATGTAAGAGTCAGAGAGCATAAGCTCTGTAATGAACGTTTTACAGAAAGATTTGGTGGTGGTAGTGTAATGACGTTGAAAAGGGTATCTTATACAAGTAGAGCTAATTTGGTTCATATTTAAAGGACTTTGACGAAAAGCGGAACTCTAACGATGTCCTACCCCCTCATGTCTTTCAAATAATGCAGCATCTTGGAGTCGTATTTCAATCTAACAATACACAGCCACATACTGCTCCGTAATTTGACAAGCGCATTTTTTGCAAAACCACAGCATCCTGTACTGCCTGTCATCTAAATCGCCAGATTTTAACCCATTTGAGTATGCATTGGATATCTGCGAAAGACAATCGCATCCCCTAGACTCTGCAACAGCTGGCCAAAGCTCTACATTTAGAGTGGGATAGCATTTCCATGCAGTTTTTAATACTTTCATTTGCGTCCATTGGAATAACGTTCGTTGGTGTCTGTGGGGGGCATACCAGATATTGATCTTTAATGACCTTGAACTGTCTATGATTGTAAAATTCTTGAGTAATTATGACAATTATGACAATTAAATTGTAGACCTTTTGTTTACCATCTTTCTTTAATATCAATACATCATTCTACTAATTAATCATTATGTTCAAGGAGTCACTAAATTTTACTATGCGTTTCTTTTTCAGAAGAGTATACTGGTAGTATATATCGAGTTGACATATATATGAACTTTTACTACATGTATTGTTGATTAAACGTCGTCGATATATTTAATATCGAATTCAATGGTTTGTTTTTCTTCTATGGTCATAGTGATCAAGTTGACAAACTGTTTTCATAATTATAATGCACACTAAACCCTCTACCAAAATTTCTCCTGGACATCGATCTAGCAGCAAAATTGTTGGCATGGTTATAATGAGCAGCTAGCTCATAAAATCATGTCACATCGGTGCATGAGTGTGGCCTAAGTGTGGGTCTAAGCTGATAATATGTTGAAATTTATCGTACAGTGTAGCTGCATCTGAGCTTTATGATGCAAAATTAGAAGTTACGAAAAAAATTTCGTCTCGTGAGGTTTAAACCCAGGGTCTTGAAACGTATCTAATCCATGTGATAATTTACATGTACACAACACCACAAAACAGTTACATTTGTACAGTATGATTATGTAAACCTAATAATATTATTTTTCTTTTCAAAAGGACACGCCCCCACGTTTGTTGTCAGGAAGTGTTGTAAAACGAAATTCATCACGGGGATCCCGTTTTACCCTCGGGTTAGGTATCAGCTGGCTCAGTGGCATTTCCACTTTGGTTCAAAACGAGACTGGGGAACAGAACATGCCATTAATGGGAAAAGATTCTCAGCCGAGGTAAATAACTCCAAAAAAGCGTATCTGTAATTCGAGAGGGGATGGCAGCTAGGGTCTCGGTTTGATGGTTTGGCTTTTGTAGTTCATCTACTTGATCTCAGCTTTTTCTATATCTTTAATATTAGATGATGAAGCATGCACATATAAGTAGTTTCATGTGTCATAAATAGACGTTGAACAGGCATTCAGGTTATAAAAACATATCTTAAGCAATTTCTTATCAATTTTGATTTGTTTTATCCTTTGAAATAATCTAAAAGCTGCTTTAGATATCCCATGTAGAAGAACATTTGTTTGAAGCTATCTTCTGAAGTAGCTTTTTGATGACATTAAAGGACAAAACAAATTTCAATCTCTATAGGAAACTGTTAAACTTTGTAGGAAGAGCTATTTCTCTATTACTATATTTTGTTTAGCTAATGTAGATTCCCTTCCATATTTCTTTGTACAAAGCTTAGCATATCAATTATTGCACTCAACTATACTGATCACGAATTATTGAATTACATGTAAAAATGAATCATTGCACGCATCCTCTATTGACTTATTGCACAAATATATTATTTCTTCCATATTCTAGCGAGACAAATCTTTCATTTGATTCTAAGTATCCGGTGCTTTATAAAAATAGCCATATACAATTGCGAAGATATGATTTGTATATTATATAGGTTTATCTACTTTAATTTTTTGATTTTTCGTGTTAAACAAATTGTTATTATGTATTTATAGAAAAAAATGAAAAGTCCCCTGGCCGGTTTGTTATTACCGGTAGGGGAAGGGGTGTGACAGTTCATATTTTAGGTTCTGTACGTATTGTCGCCGGTGTAACGACGAAAAGTGACCCCCTTAGAATATTGATCGGGGATCATTTGTTCCCCTGGTCAATATTCCACGTAGAAAAATGACTCATTTTTGTAGAAACTCTGGCCTTGGGGTCATCTTTCTCCATGTGGATTGTAGATAAACGACCCTGTAGATTAATGACCCTGTGTCATTTTTTGATACAAAAAAAAAAAAAAAAAAACTGCATTGGTTGGGTAGGAAAATTCTTGTTAGGCAAATACATAGGGGTTAAATCACACAGCCTTATTATATGAAGTGTTCATTTCTAAAAGCTTTAATGATTAAATGACAAAATTAAAAGGTTATACTATACTTTACATTAATAATACAAGATGTTTTATCCCCATTAAAGGAAAGCCTAACAAGGCTATAATGATGTTCTATCACTATTAGAGCAAGAATACATGGTCGTACATTCTTTGATTTAATTGTTTTATCACATTTGATAAAATAAGTTTCCACAGTTGTAATAATTTAAAAAAATCAAGATCATTTTTTTAGCTGGTTCATTCATTCATTCATTCCATCTTTATTTCCTCTTTTCAGAGATTTTACAACACTTATATAATTCACATGTTATATCATGTTATGTTAGGAACATAAAATTGTAAATTGACAATACAAAAAAAGGAAAGATGTACATACAAACGTATTTACGAAAAGATCAGTAGTATACTGGAAAAGAAATATGTTTGAGTGGAAGCCCTGCTAAGAAAGGCAGAGGCTTCGCAGATAAACTTTGCACAACAACAAATAAATTCTTTCTGATCATACTTGTCTTTCAACGTTAACGTTGGAAGGCCACCTAATAATGATAAATACAATTCATAATCACACATGTGAATTAATTCTACATACAAGTGAACATCAAATTGGTTCACTACGCAATCAAAAAATGAGTTTCTGATATGCTCTGTGGCGGAGCACCACAACACGGCATGCTGGAAGGGATCGCTATATATTTTTTCAAAGAGAGCACATGCTTGTTGGCATAACTGAGGCGTTACAGTCCATAATTTTGCGACAAATTTTATCAGTCTGATTTCATTAAAAGAAAAGTTGAATTTGTAGATCCTTCGATGTAAATCTTGAAACAAGTATCTGTCCGTTTCGGTTCTGGTTGTCCACGGTAAGTTTTGATAGTGATGGATTGATTGGCGCACGATGTTTTTCCAGGCATATTTTTCAGGAAACCTTGCTCCATTTAGAAATATCTGTAGACAATTTAAAAGCTTGTATTTCGACAAAATTTGCCAAATGCCTCGCACAAAACCAGTGACCTGTGTTCCTTTATTCGTTATAAAGTCATATAATCTGAACAAGAAAATATGTTTTGATAAAACGTCCAATTTAAGATTACACATTTTCCAAAAAAGAAGAGTTTGCGTTGATCAATAATTTGCGATTATAAGAAAGGTTAAAGTTTCGGAACCCTACCCAAATAAATTTGTGGGGAAAAAATTGAAGATTGATAAGAAAATTCGATCTCGTAAGTATCTTGGAATTTCTATGAATAAAGTCTTAAACTTCTCATAAAAATATAGGGAATATTACATTTGTGAAAAAATAACACAGAACCAAATCAACATGCATCTGACCTTCGTTATCAGGGGCACAAAAAGTGATTAGCTCAAAATCATTACCAATGTCTGTTGTCGTTTGACACTTGACACTAAGTCAACAAAGTCTTTAACAAAATGAGACTTTTTACATTAAAAAAAAATTGATTGCTTAAAAATAGAGGTGTTTAGTATACCAAGAATTGACAAGTTTATGCACGGTAGTATCGTCTTTTCCCTCTCGTTACATGCAAAAAAAAAATTACCGATAGAAAAAACAGAATGTTGCATTATGAAAAAAGCTTCTCAGTCTAATTTACATAATTTTTTCCTGAGTATGATTGGCAATATTACATGTAGCACACGTGAAGTTGCGTGTGCAAAAAATGTAGAACTGTACAAAAAAGTACTGTAACACATTGTGTTAGAATCAAGTACCATGCGAGATTCGTATAAGCGTATATCTATAGTGGCGAGTTTTTAGGGGAGGGGGTTACGGGGTTGTAACCCACTCTTTAAATTTACTAGTAGCCTATAGGGAAAAAAAATCCCTGCTGGGCATGTACGTCTTTCCTACAAACAAATAAAGCGTTCTTGCGAAAATCCTCTTAAAAGGATGTTATTTACATAATGAATATGTGCATTGTAATGCTTTAATTCATTACGATTTAAAAATTTTATCTCGATAATGTAACATGGCTTGAGGAGGGCGGTATGCGCGACAGAGGCAACGTTGTAACAATTTTTAAGCACACATTTGCACGGCTCTTTTTTTTTTTTTTTTTTATTGAATGGCTTTACTGCTTAATGGAATGACTGTAATTTTTCTAGAAGCACGACTAAGGCCTGTTATAAAGCGAACATTTACTCAAATTACACTGATGTCGCAACGGTAAATCATTTAACACTATCCATTCAAAAGCTATGGTTAGTAGAGTAGAACCATGCAACAAATAAAGGTTACATGTAGGTTTTGTTAACAGTACGCATTTGAATAAAGTACCAAATGAACATTCATATGTATGCAATGAGAAAATATCACACACCGGGTAATGCGTAGAACAACGAGGGAGTCAAGATGCAAGTGCATTTTGGCTAACATTCAACGCAACGACACGATATCTGAACAGACAAATATTATAAATATTTAAAATTTAAGTAAACTGAATGCATACAAGGGAAAGAGATAGTGAATGTCAAACCCTTATTACATACTTGGTCAAATAAAGAATATTTTATAGACCTCCTCTCAGCATGTGGATATTTTAGATACTTTTCATAACGGTACAACAAATAATATCCAACTGGGATTTCAAGCTGACATATCATCTTCCTTGCATGTTAGCAAACATATAAGTATTGTTTTCAAGAATATAAAATTCTTCTTCATTAAGTACGCAAACAAACAACGCAATGATCTAATTGTGAACTGGGAAGCAGTATTTTCTGTTGTGTGAAGTTATCGCCCGTATAATTTTAAATTGCATTCATTTTTTGCATAAATAAACATTTCTGCTAAATCCATTTTAAAGTAAAAAGATCAAGAATAAACATTTTATAATTTATTTTAAAATAACGATAAAATTTTTCTTTTTGTTTTAGAATAAGTATTCTCCCCATTATTTTTTATTGTAAAAACTATGAAACATATATGTATTAGGCGTATATATAATTTAATTTACAAGGCTTAAGTGTAACTGAGTCAGACAGACAAGAAATATATAAAAAGAGAGGGAGAGAGTGGGAAGGATGGCAGGGAGAGAGAGAGGAAGTGGGGAGAGAGAGAGCGAGGAGGTGGAAGAGTGAGTGGGGAGAGAGATAGTTTGGAGAGAGAGCGAGTAAGTGGGGAGAGAGAATGAATGAGTGGGGATAGTGAGTGAGTGGGGAGAGAGAGTGTGAGTAGAGAGAGAGAGGGAGAGGTGAGCGAGTGGGGGGAGAGTGAGTGGGGAGAGTGAGCGGAGAGAGAGTGTGAGTGGGGGGAGAGAGAGTGAGTGAGTGGGGAGAGAGAGTGTGAGTGGGGAGAGAGAGTGTGTGAGTGGAGAGAAAGTGAGCGAGTGGGGGAGAGAGAGCGAGTGAGTGTGGTGGGAGAGTGGAGGTGGGAGAGAGAGTGAGTGGGGAGAGAGGAGAGTTTGTGGGTGGGGGGGGGGGAGAGTGGGAAGAGAGAGTCAGAGAGAGTGACTGGAGAGAGAAAGTGAGCAGGGGAAACGTTACTGCTCAATGGCCCTGGGTGCCGCGTTTAGGTTTTTAACTTAAAGCTCTTCGCCGGTGTATCGTGACGTCTCCATACGGGTTTTGGAAGAGGTGTCTTTACTCCTCATTACCAAGCAGCTAGTTTATCTAAGGGGAAGAGAGAACATATAATTGTTAGAGTCACGCTCTTACATCAGAACCCCTGATCTGGGACCAAATATAGCACAATTTAGGAAAAGGCACTTTTTCTCAACATAACCACGTACCTAGTTTATCTGCTATATACATGTTTATATAGGGGAGAGAGGACATTTTCACTATATGATCATAAGAGACCCGCTTTCACTTAAGAACCCCTGTCCCTGGGACCATGAATTTTACAATTTTGGTAGAGGGCTCAATGCTTAATGTCCATGGGTAAAGAGGAATTTTTTTTTTACAGTAAAACATGTCTAATCCGGACACTACTGTTTCGATAGAAAATGGCCGGATTAGACAACATTTAAAACAAATGAATTTACTGAAATGGACTTAAAATTAAGATCGTATTTAGCAAGTTTGCGGATTACATGTATACATCCGGATTAGACAAATTTTACTTGTATTGTATAATATACATGTAGTTAAAAAGTAAGGGGTCAGATTTCTATGGGGGTCATTTTTCAACGTGTGTGGAGTCGTAGAATGACCGGTCTGGCAGGGTTTTCTACGGTCGAAAAATGACCCTTCCTGCAGTAGAATATTGACTGGTGGGTCATTTTTCCACGTAGAAATTTGACCCTCCCGATCAATATTCGTTTTTACACCGGCGACGATATGTACATTTGAAATTTTGCGCCTAAAAGGTGCAGTGATGGTAGGTGCGTATTATTAGTAATAACAGTATGTACAGGACGACAAAATGTACCGTCACAAGGGATCCTATACCTGTGGCAGAGTATAGAAAACATTACCCCACCTTAACTGTATTTGGGATCGAAAAGTAGTACAAATATCATTTCTGCTTGAACTTTCAGTAAGGCGTGACAATCTCGGCGATACATAATTAGCGTCTCTCAAATGGTGACCTAGATTCTCATTGGTTAAGAAATTCATAACATTAGCAAAGTTAGATTGTTGTTAACAAACAATGGGATGACGTAAGCCACACCTCTTAACAGTAAGAAACGAATTAATTGGTTCCTTGCGTCACTCGTTGACGTCTGAACAATTTTTATTCCATGTGTATTTCACTCGTGAATGAAAAGCTGTGTAAATTTCAGTATTGATGAGCTAATTTGGCAACCAATGAGAATCTAGGTCATTATTTGAGAGACGCTAATTATGTATAGCCGAGAATATCACGCCTTATTGAAAGTTCAAGCAGATATGATATTTGTACTATGTACCGTATATCACTGAGTTCTAGAAAGAAAGTTATTTTTTTTAAATCACTGGCTTTAATGTTTTCTCAGCTTCACATGGTTCATTTCAACACCAAATATGGAACTGTGACAAATGCCATAGATAAAAAAGACGGTATAGCAGTCGTTGCTATTTTATTTAAGGTAATTCCTCTCTCTCTCTCTCTCTCTCTCTCTCTCTCTCTCTCTCTCTCTCTCTGTATGTGAATTTGAAAGTAGACACTGTAAAAGACTCCGATTGGAAGTTACTTTCTTACCTACCTGAATATCTTCTGAAAATTACTTCCGATATAACTGCTGAGTAGTATTTGTAATATGTTACCAAAACAATAATCCCCAAAGTAATTTCAAAATAAAATTATAACATGTAACTTAAACACCATGCAGGAGTGTTGCCGAGCCCGACTCTCACCAATTGATTTATTTTTCCGGAAATATGGCTCCCATGTGTATTGTCCAGGTAAGATTGATTGATTGATTAATTGATTGTATGTTGATTTACGTCGAGGTAAAGGGCTTCAAATTTAGACCTTTACTCGGAACTCAGGGCCATTGAGCAGTGAGGAATCTTTATCGTGCCAACGCCTACCGTGACACGGGACCTCCGTTTTTAAGGTCTCATCCGAAGGACTCGCGACTTTCACTTCAAAGACCCGAGCGCTTAGCGAAGGAACAGCTGCTACCTATTTTTTAAATAGGTAACAGATCAGTCGCAGCCGTGATTCGAACACACGACCTTCCGATCACGGAGCGAGCGCTCTACCGACTGAGCTACCGTGACGGCTCCAGGTAAGAAGCAGTTACTATACCTGATCATCTATGTTGTACGCCAAAGCACTTCACTTTTTCTTCGGAGAACCAGACTAAGTGCATGGTCGCTATATGGAATTATACGGAATTTAATAAGCTAATGGCACAGTGAGAAAATTTTAAAATCTTATCGTTTATGTAAAATCTTTTAATTTCAAGAAATGTTTTAATTGCCATGGAAGGCTTGATGAATAAGACGAAACTTTTTGCAGTATTTTTATTCTATACAAGCTGAATCAAATTGCAAATACGTCTTAACTTTCAACAAGTCTATAATAAAACTTTATGAACGTGCTTTTAATATCAGACATACTTTTAGGTCATGGACAATAAAATACTAAAATCTGATTTCATTTGATTTCATTCCAGTCAAGAGTTCCAAAATTATGACCAGGACAAATTTGTAACATTTTTACTAGATAAAAATAATTCTTGAATAAGGTTCCCTTACTAAGAGTAACGCTTAACATGAAATAAAAACCAACTTATGTCAAGTTCAGTCCCTGCTGAATACACTACAATGGCATTAGTATAGTTAACCCGGATTAGACAAATAACCAAAATCCTGAATAAAATACTTTTTTCTACGTAGTATAACTACGTAGAAAATGGATAATGATTATGAAACAAAATAATGGCAAAATAGTCCCTTAGAATTAACAATAATAATTAACTCAAAGAAAATGTCAACCTAACCGTTGAAGCTGCAGACTAAGTGGTATAACAAACAATTATTGTGTTGATTCCCGAAACAGCCTGCAAATACCGGTAAACACTTCATAAAAGTTATCAAGTCACCTTTAAGTCACAGCGGCACATGCTTAAGTCACCAAGACACCATGCTAGTCACAACCCATACGAAAAAATACTAATAGAACTCAATCGGAGTATTCAGTTGGCGGTTCGTTGACGATCAACTGACCGTTGATTGACCATTAGTTGAACTTCTACCATGCAAATGAGGGGACGTTCAACTCCTATGCATACAGTTGACCACTGTTTCTATATATTCTGTGCAATGGAACACTGTTGAATGCTCCTATATATTCTGTGCAGTTGACCATTGTTGAATACTCCTCTTTTTTCTTTGCAGTTGACCATTAGTTGAATGCATCTCTATCTTCTGTGCAGTTGACCTCTGTTCAGCGCTCCTATATTTTCTTTGCAGTTGAACGTTGTTGAATGCTCCTCTATTTTCTGTGCAGTTGCCCACTGTTCAACGCTCCTATATTTTTTTTGCAGTTGAACATTGTTGAATGCGCCTCTATTTTCTGTGCAGTTGCCCACTGTTCAACGCTCCTATATTTCTTTGCAGTTGACCACTGTTGAATACTAGTACTCTAGCAGTCAGTGCATGTTTCATTTAAAAAAAAATGGAGTGAGTTTTTAAAAAAATCCAGGCAAGCAGTGTGCTTAGAAAAGCTGCCATGTCTCTGAGCAGGAGAAGTCAATACATGTATGTACCGAGAGTAATGCTTTCAGCGCAGTCCCTGGAGGCTATCGAATTAGTACTGTTGGTATTTTTAAGCACTTTTAAGTTTATCTTCAATTGGAATCATACAGGTAAACCTTAATTAAATTGTATAAGTTATACAATCATAGTCAATTACCTAGTTACTCTACTTTTAGTATTTTTTAAGAGACACATATTTTCTGATAATGACTTAATTACAGGTCTTCCAATTATATCCGTTTTTTAAGTCCTTGACCCTTTCTTCTGTTTTATGTAATGTACTTCGAATAAAACTTCGACTTTTTAATACACTGTAATACTGTCAATTAAATCAAGATGGTCTGAGTTGTCTCTCTTTGTTTCCGGTAAAATCAAGACGAGCACTTGTTGCGCAACAATAATGATACCTAGCAATGTGTATTTAAAAAAAAAACGGGAATAAATGAAGGGCATATGGTATATAAAGGTAAATGAACATACATACATATTATAATTCATTGAATCGTTATCACGGGAACAATGCAAACGCATTCAAAGTGCTTACACTACAATCATTGATCTGGAATTTTACCTCCGATGATTTAAATTTTTATGGACATGCTCAATTCGTAAAAATTTAACGCGTAAAAATTTTAATCAACCTTGCTGATTGAACCAAAATTCTTAAAAATTTACAGCAGTAAAAATAACCCGTTATACGGTATATAAATGAATAAAAATTGAGCTAACACACTTTCACAAGCTGATATGGCTATGCTATTTTCTGTGCAGAAAAAGTAGATTTATCTTTAAGCAATAGCGTATTTTTACCGGTAAAACAACAAGAAACACAACAAAACACTTGATGCACGACAAGTTATAGGAATTCTTTTGATAATTTAATAAGTGCACAATATAGTGGGGACATATTCTAGCTACAGCATTATGTCTTTCAAATATCTTTTAGAAAAAATATGAATGAAAAATCTTTAAAATTTACACTTACATGTATTGCACAAGTAAACCTGATCTATAATAATGTCATTTCAAACCCAACATAATTAGAGTCAGAGAGTTTTTCGAACTCTGAGTGGTCAACTCTAGTCAACTCTGCAAGATTTCACAAAGTCGGAGTGTTCAACAATGGTCAACTCTTAATTTCCATACGAAAATGTCTAGTTGACTGTACCCTCGTCGTCAACTAGCAGTCAACTAGTTGCCAACTGAATACTCGAACTAGTATTAGCATTCAACTAATGGTCAACACGGTGAAAAGTAGTCTATTCTAAATATTTGGTTGGCTGAAATGCTGATACTGATTAGATAGATATACAGTTATATAATTGGATGATTTCAGATGTGTTTCAATCCACTATCCTAATTCTATATCATTACACATTTTTGTGAGCGTAAAGACAGAACAGACTGAGAGGACAGACTGCTAGACATACAAATTGAATCTGTCTCTCCAGTTGGGAGACATGCTTAAACTTTATAAAGGAATATATGGAGATAACGAACAGTACTCAAGCTCAAAAGTCCATTCAAACAAAACAAATCAGGAGCAGAGCAAACACGGACCTCTAAAACATCAGAGGTGGGATCGGGTGCCCTGAAGGAATGAGCATCCCCTGCCGACCGGTGCTCCTTGTACAAAATAATGATCATCAATCATCAAATATTCAACACATTTATTTGAAAAGGAGTTTATAGTAAATACATATTGCTCTATTTGAACATATATCTAGATTAAGTGTATTCCAACAGGACATGCAGTCAAGGCTGTGTTTAATCCTGTGTCATGTATTCCAAGGAAAGGTCGTATGTTCTTCTACAAAGGATCGTTAACAACGCCCGGATGTTACGAGAGTGTTAATTGGCTGGTTTTCAAGAAGCGCCTGACTATATCAACAAGAACAGTAAGAGACAAAGTGATCAAACTATCAGAAAATGAATGATTTTTTCTAATTTATGACCTAGGAAATGTTTTATCATACGGCATCTATCTTACATTAGTAAAAGCATACATGTGCATTGATTTTCCGGGAGGGAGAGGTGTAAATTGCATCATCTTGTGATAATGATTTAGTCATTTCCTCACTAAAAATTGTTTCTGTAATAATGACAGTATTCTAAAGCAAAAGATGGTGATAACAATGAAATTCGAGCAAATTTAGTACCACACAGGGCGAAAATGATGTGAAGACGAAAAAATTATCACGGAAACAGAATTATAAATTTTTAGAGTTATCTCACGTAGCAGAAAACATTGAACTGACAAGCATATAATTCAAATAATATTACCAATTGGCAAACAATTTTCAATCACGTTCTGCATTTGAATTTGAAATACTAATTTAAAAAATATGGTAATGTCAAATATTGAAGTTACGTTTCCGTAGGACTATCAGATTTAAAAATATGTAAATTATTAATTATGCTTTACAAGATGGCGTTTTTCCGGAAATTGAAAACATATCATCATGGTGCCCCAATAGCAGAACTGACCAATCTCCGACCACTACAAACTCTAGGGAAAAGACATGTGTATTGTAATATCTGAGCACTCATGTATTTACATTTCAATAAAATAGATGGAATAAAGATAGAAATTTTGACATTTTTAAACTAATGATTAGTTTTCTGAATGATATTTTAAAGGTTTTTTTTTTTTTTTTTTTTTAATTTTTGATCTTTATGTGTTAGTATAATGAAGATCTTGATACGATGTTTAATGTAAGAGTCAAACAACAACAGTTTTAGCATGTGAATTAATGAAAACTTGAATGCGCAGTGGACATTATAGGAATCATGATGTACCTACTTAAAGTTATTTGAGACTTGTCCATTTGTGTCGAATGCATAGCATGGCAGACACATAGGGACTCGTCTGTTTGTCTGTCTGGTAGGCCACTCTTTCGCAAAAAGCCTGAATAAATATAATTGACTTTCTTATTTCAAATCAAACCGTTGTGAAACTTCAGGAAAAGATACCTGTCAATAGGATGCAAACTTCACATAAAGTTTAATGGCCAAATCAAGTTCAAAAGTGACAAAATGTTCCGCATTAAGAACCGTCTGTATCGATATGAAACCGTTCTTGGCGTACATGTATCCTGGACTGAAAAGTCACATAAACATTCATCATCAAAAGTTGTCCAATGACAATGCCGTAAGAAATGGATGAAAATGCAAAAAGATACGGATTTAAATTTCATTTTTTAAATTATTTTTTTTTAAATTTATTTATTTTGGGGGGTGGGGGTGGGTGGGTTACAGGGATAGGTATGTAAGAAATACTTAATGAATTTATGTAAATAAGATTAAGTGAAAAGATTCTTAAGAAAATTAGTGAAAAGATTCTAAAGGTAGGCCAGTACATATCTATGATAGATATTAAAGCATAATTTAATCGTAATTTTGTATTATTGAGATTAATTTCTAACATATTCAGAGGGAATAAAATGTAAAAGAAAATTCTCTCTTTTGGGCCAAGGATTAAAATAAACCTCACAACATCATTCTGACTTTCTTGTAAGCTATGCTTCAGTTGCAATACCAAGAAGAACAGGCATAGTCAAAATAATATTGTAAAAGCAGAACAAAGGGTATTTCTAAACTGCGCATACATGCATATCAAGGCAAGACATTGCTGTGAAAAAGGGAAATATAACGAACTGTGCTCAATCTCAAAAAATCTACAAGCAATACCAATCACTGAAGGGTTTAAAATACGGACCCCTGGAAAAAAGAGGGATACAAGGCAAGGGCAATCCCCCGGTCTAAGACAATATATTTCTCAATTTTCAAAGTTCACGGAAAAGTTATATTTCACTAAAATTATGTTTTCAGTAATGTCATCTTCAACACATTTGATTCATTTTTTATTGAACGACTTATTTATTGATAATCTCTTAGTTGACAGTGAAGCATTCTAAGTGAAAAATGGGTTTATTAGAGTCATAAAAAATTATTTTTGAACATGAATTGTTCTAGTCTCCATTCTTCATTAACGTTTAAATGACGGAAAAGTAAATGTAAAATCTATTTTATGTTTTAAAAAAAAATGGAGACCGAACCCACTCTAAATGAAAATCGAGCATTTCTGAAGGAATAATACGTTTCAACGAACTCGTTTATTGAAATTACACTGATACACATCGAATACACGTAGACTTTGTAGCGTAGTGGTTAACGCGTTCAGTCTTGTGCCTAACCGTGTGCTTTGGAGAGAGTTCGAATCATGAGTGAAGCTTTTTTTTTTTCTTTTCACATATCTTAAAAATATGAGTGAAAAATATACCATTTATCAATAATTTATTCAATAAAGTAAAGGAAGCATTCATGTAAAAGATTATATTGACGATTTTTTGTAACATATATATATATATATATATATATATATATATATATATATATATATATATATATATATATATATATATATATATATTAGGGATGTCAACGAGTACCCGGTTAACCGGGTACTCGATCGAACGTCCGAGTATCGAATACTAAAAATGGTACTCGGATATGTATTTTTTCTTAATTCAAAGTACCTATTTTTATCAAAAACTAGCTTAAATTTGTATACGGTAATTAAAGCTTGTAGTCTTCTACACCTGTAAAACATCCATTATCGCCTTTGGCTGTGTATATACAGTAATTAATGACCAATCACCCAGCCGTTCTCACCTATTGTAGTCCTTAAGTTTTGGATGGCTTCAATGATTGTTTTCAGTGAATATCAATGGTCAATTATCTTCAAATCATTTTTAAATTAGTTAGTAATATACGGCAGCGAAATCGGACATGCATAGAAATGCCGATACCCACTTCAAAAGTGAAGAAATATTTAGAAATAACTATTTAAAAAAAAATGTTGAAAGTCTGTTTGCGAAGTAAATTTAGTGTATACGGGGGAAACAACATATGCAATTGTTTCCCCCGTAAACACTAAACTTACTACACGTGTATAATATTAGACTAAACTTATATAATATTAGACTAGCGATCCCTATAACGTTCGTTCCTTCTCCTTTTGATGAAATAGATTCTAAACAAGAACTGTTAACCATTTGTAATTTTTGATGTAATAATTATGTCTTTTGTGTTTATTTGATAAATAAATTTAGTACCAAAAATCATTCACGTTGGAATCAGTGTTTATATACATTAATAAACGTGATAAAACAGCTTTGGGGTTTAACGTAGCTCAAGAAAATTAATACACTTGTATTTACATTTTTACCGAGTACCCGGGTACTCGATCGGAAAAACGTCCGAGTAACCGATTATCAAAAATTGACCGATTTGACATCCCTAATATATATATATATATATATATATATATATATATATATATATATATATATATATATATATATATATATATATATATATATATATATATAAAAAAAACTTTTCATGAACTCCGAATTGAGAAATGTTTTCTGAGAGCGGGGGATTGTCATCGCCTTGTACGCCTCCATTCTTCCAGAGGTGGGATCAGGTGCCTAGGTGGAGTAAGCACCCCCTGATTACTGGTCACCCAGCCGTGAGCCCTATGTATTGATCAGATAGATAGAATATTCCGTAGTCAAATTTAGTATTAAAACAAAGGCCTAACAACTGGTGTGAAATATGTCAGTCAAAATGCGACCAAATGATAGGTTATATTAAATTTGCAAACAAGGTCATTATAACGACCATTGAATTTACAAAATGCCGACTTCAAATGAGGATGTTGAATCCCTGTAACATCAACTTACAATACATCCTTCAGTAGCCCGCCTCGGTTTAAAAATTGATCTTACCAAGAGCACGCTCTTTGGTATCGAATAAGTTGGGAGATATAAACAACATACGCAGGTGATAGCGGAATATTACTACATAAATAAGGAAAGTTGACGATGGAAAAACTGAAGTCATCTCGTTTGTCATACAAAATAGTTGTTAGTTGATCTTTATCGTCTATAGTCAGTATATCGTTCAGACCTCTATGTGTGACGACATCGAGGGTGCATACTATCAATCATGAATTCGGAATGTGATCCATATTTTCGGGATGAGTGAACAGATTGATGTTTCGAGACTATTTCCATTCTCAGGGACCTACAGTTTTAATCAGAGTTACATGGAATGGACTGCAAAATAAAAAGGTTCATCGTTTTACTGTACCTTTTACAGATTTCATCAAAGATTCTATTATTAATTATTATAATTAATAAACAACTCAGCAATGTCTCATTCTTCAAAACTTCATTTTAGATTTACTAAAAAATACGTAATTGACAGTAGCAGATTTAGAGAAAGCTCTACCTCCTTTTGTAACCAAATACTGGAACTACCACAAACGAATGATATATATAAAGATATAACTGTTTGTTATCTTCTCCTTCATATGATATAGCCTCAAATGATCAAGACATCAATTAAAGGCAGATAAACATAAAGTACTGGACGTTTTTAAAACTTTAAAATGGTTAAAACTTGACGAAGAAAGGAGCTAGTAATAAACTGATTTTGAAGGATTTCTGCAGGTACAGTGTATTGCTGAAGATCTGTTTGTTTTGAGAAAGGCCTTGCCATTTAAATGTTCATATTATGTAATATCATGGTTCCCTGTATCCTGCATTGCATGTAAAAGTGAGGGTATTTGAAGATAAATTATCAGGTAGATTAAAGCAAACATGAATGTGAACAGTTCCTATAAGAAATAAATAAAAATTTTATAGATTCAGGATTTGTAAAAGAGCGCTGTTTAAGAAAGAAAATTCTGATTAAAAAATGGGACAACAAAAATTATTTCAAAGTTGACATTTTAGCACTCGCTCAAAAAAGTCTTTACTTCAACTGTATTTATTTAGTATTTTAGTGTACCTGTAAAGTTATTATTATTTTGTTCATTCAGACTTGATATAAATTAAGTGTAAAGATATGTCTCCATGTTTTTCATTAAATTAAGGTTTGTACTCAATAGAAATTCTTGCTTCACGGGGAAAGATTCCAGCTTAATATCTGAACCTTGATCTCTGCATTGACTTGACAAGAGAGCAAAACTCCTAGCACTTAAACGGTTTTTTGACATTTGAAACAATTGAAAATGCATTTTATGTGATAGAAGACGTGATTTGACATATATTATTGTATTTATAATATGAAACACAAACTTATATTCTATTTCTTCCTATTTTCATTGAAAGACAAATAACTTGTATAATCAAATATTATTTCTCCAAGTTTTATAGTAAAGTTTCAAAGTTTCAGGTTGAATAAATGAACAAAAATGGAATATCAAAGTATTTAAGTATGTACTATAGTAAATTGTAGAGACTTTTGTTATGACTATCTCGTTTTATTAAAAGAACTACATGTACCTTAAACATTTGAAAAATTGCACTTTCTGTCCTCCATACTTTAAATCACCTTAAGGAGTGTCGGCCGGGTTTTCCGATCTATTTATATATATCAAGATATCAAGGTATGATGTTCTTTCCTCAAGACACATTGTAGCAGTGTTTTAAGAGTAAGTTCTTTTATTCTTATATGGTTTATTCTTATATGATTTTCAAAACGGAATACATTTGTTTGTCAAAGTAGGATCTGACTCTCAATCAATGAAAATAGAAGCAGACTTCACTATTGATCCATAAGTTCATGGAAGCATAACATGCATAACGAAATGATGGAGAGCTGATTTTTTTATTAAGGTCAGATGACATGTTCCTTGAATAACTGTTTTTTTTTTAACTCTTCGTAATATACGAAAAATGTTTTTAAGTATCATTACTTTCTGATTTCTAAACTGTAAAATGTCTGAATAAATATATAAACTAAAATCTGTGATATCAATAATTCAAGCTATCTCCAGTAGGATTATACAAAAAAAAAACCGACCTCTGGAATCTTGCACAAATGCCTGGTAATGTGCCTCGATTTTTTTGTGAGGAAACATCTTAAAGTTACAAGTTCTTGGGTAAAATAATATATTATAGAAGAACGTGTCGTGTCGTCTGACCTTAAATTATCCAGTTTCTTCCAATTAGGATACTGTGCATGTGCATACGACCCAATATGTAGCAAGGTTTGAATAATATATAAAAGATATATTTCCTTAACATGACTATGAATATACAATTTCTCAAATTTATGTGCAGAGAGGCTGGTGCGACATAGAATTAACTTTTCGTAAATAATAGCAACCTTGAAATTTTTGAATTTTTATCATTATTATTTAAACGATCTTATTTTTTTTTTTTACATAATTAACTTAGATGAAATAATATCGCCTGTTAGAGCATTATGAAAGTTGTATATACTTACATTTTTCCATAAATCATTTATTTTTCCCCTTTCTTTTTTGATTAGGTGAATTAAAAACATTCAAAATGCAAAATGGTTTTGAAAATTGAACTTTAGATATTTCAGGTAAGATTTAAAGTATTAAAAACTTTAAGATGAGCAAGATATGATCCTTTAATTTATGCATTTGAACTACAACATCAAATGGAAAAATATAAAAAGAATCTGAGTTTTTGAAAGTTAACACTATATATATATATTTATGCCTCCTCTTTACCTACCTACACATCAAAATTAGACAAACTCACATGTGTGTTGAAAAAATGTTTATTGATCAAAATATGATAATATTCTGATCAAATCAAATCATAAACTCGTACAAACTTTCAAAATACAGTTCCAGTAAAACAAAATGGATTTAACAATGTAAATATGCAAATTACAGTTCCATTATACAAATTGGATGGTACAGTGTAAATTTGCAAGTGAAGTTACAGTATTGCAAAGGAGGGATCTGTCAATGTAAAGAAACAATTGTAATCAGCAAACATATCACACATAAAATACAAGAAGTAGAATAATACTCAAATTACATGAAAAGAAACATATGCTCGATATAAAAATTATATATATCTATATATATATATATATATATATATATATATATATATATATATATATATATATATATATATATATATATATATATATATATATATTCTATTTAAGAATCTAACAACAAGCAATGGGTATCAAGTCATCCAAACAAAAGAAAACGCAACATATCCATATGATGCAAAATGACTTAGAGAAAGACAAAAGAGCAAAAGACATAAATGATGGTACATTGCCTGCTATTGCTGAACCTCTGCAGTCATTGCCTTTGGAAAATATAAACAAAAGTTTTATTTCGAAAGAATGTAACGCATATCATCAGTTTCCCATTGTACGTTTTAGCCCCAAAAAATTAAGCTCGAAGGAAATGTTGCAAAGTCACGGAAACCTAGATATTAGAGATGATCAAAGCCAAAATGAAAAGATATGTGAAGACACCTTTACGTATCAGGAAAACTTTAGGCAAAGTAACATGCTAGAAAGGTGTACTATCCATATAGAAAACGTTTATACATACTGGTGTGAGGAATGCAAAGTACCAATATGCGATAAGTGTGTAGATCATTTGAATCATGATATAATTGACGTACAAGAAGCTTACGAAAGGAAAATAACAGAAAACAAAAGAGCTTTCAATACCATTAGCAAGTGGATACTGCCGTTAAATCTATCGATGAAGGTAAGGACACAGAAAGACATGGGCAATTATTGCACCCTGTTGAATGAATCATTCGGGGACATGCTGGAAAAATCTCTGGGGTTAAAGAATCTGTTAGATAGATTTGTATCCCATGATTGTGCTAATATTTCCAGAAAATTAGTAAATAACACCAATAGCATACTAAGTAAGCAAATGATGAGTACCAATATGCACTATAGAAAACTGCAGATGTTTTGTGACAAATATGACCAAACAGCCAACAAGCCTGTTAAATTTCTCCTTTTTCTGTCGAGGAAACATTTTCCGAAAAATGTACCCAAAAATGTGTCAAAATTGGATCTAACGTCCTTTGATGAAAAGTCGAACAAAGTTGCAATGGTCCAAATACTTGCAGATTTCATTATCAAAGAGAACAAAATGAAACATGCGCCAGAAAATATAATGCACCAGCTAACTCTTGTTTCTTCATTTCAAATGACAGACATTAACCGTGTATGTCACATTAACTGTGTTACTCCAACACAGGTATGGATCAGCGATTATAAATACAATCTTATACTGATGGAGATTATAGAAAACAAGCTATCTGTAGCTCACCGAGTTGGTGATGACTCTTGGGGACTCGGTGTGTATACGGTGTCCGATACTGGCGACCTGATTTACATCGACAGAGGATCAGCTATCAAAAAGCTGTCTTTAGATTGTAGAACAAATGAACGCTTATTTACGATAAAAAATGATTGGCGACCACGATGTATATATTACTCCCACTTCAAAAGAGACCTGCTCATAGGCATGTGGAAAGAAAAGAGATGTAGAGTAGTGAGGTATGATATTTCGGGTCAAAAAATCCAAAATTCAGAAAACGAAAGTCCGACACTATATAAATATCCTGCTTACATAACAGAAAACTGGAACGGGGATGTCATTGTAGCAGATTTGGATAAACACGCACTTGTAGTAACTGATCAAAAAGGTGCTTATCGATTTTCCTATGAAGGTCCTCAAAATGGATCCCAGCTGGACCCGCGGGGAGTTTGTACCGATGGAATTGGTCACATTTTAGTGAGTGACTGGGCAAGCAGTTCAGTGCAAATAATCGACAAAGACGGTGTATTTTTGCGAACGTTGCTGACTGTCAGCAACAAAAACAATCCACCATATGGGCTATGTTATGAAGAAACAAACCACTTTCTTTGGGTAGGCTATGATAACTCTAGTAAAGTGACAGTATTTAAATATTTGAATTAAACGAAAAATTGCTAACTACCATTCCTTTCATTTGATAATTACGATTACTATAGTAACTTTACTACTAGTCAGTTCAGCTAACGCAGAAATTTGGTAACAGAAATGCTGTTCATAAGGTATCAGTTTATTTAAGACAAATGGATTTTGTTGTTGCTTGAACTTTTTAAATCAATATGTTCTCACAAACACTGCATAAATTATGATTTTTGTTGCTAGTATTGCAGTCTTTAAATTTAAGATATCTATTTCTTTTAGCATTTGTGCTATTTTCATTTCAACATTGACATAGCCAAAAGAGCAATATGGTTCAATAAAGTATCAGTTTAACTAGCTATTGTATGCTTTTTTAAATCATACTTTCAAATGAAGAAGCAATGCTGCAAAAAATCAGAATTGATATTGTAACTGTAGAAATGCTAATAAATATTTATTTATATTGGCTTAAATGGATTTTAGCATTTCATTAAATATTGTTAGTTATAAACTTTAATTGTACAGAAAATGTGTTACAAAAAAAGGAATGATTTTAATGCAAATGCTTAGCAAATAAACATTATAGTGATTATACTATATAATTAATATAATTATTTGTTGTTTATAAGAAAGGAAGTTTTGTTTTACTTTGATATGTATTAATTAGTATTACCACAGTGTTTTAGTAAATTGAAATTCGAGGCCCATATGCATTGGTGATCACCTGAATATCATACATTTCTCAACATATGACCATCTTTGACCCATCTAGGTCTTGAACTCTTGACCATTGTGACATAAATTTTACAATTGTGGTAGATAATTTTTAGATTATTATCACAGTGCATAAAGTTGCTACCATATGCTTAAAAGTTATGAAGTAAGGAAATATAATGCATTTTCCGATGATCTACTAAGCTCCACATTGAAACCCTAAATCTAGAAACAGAGAACCTGAATTCTACAAGTGGTACAGGGCTTATTGCCCAATGTCATTCTAAATTTTGTCTGTCTTCTAAATGTCCTAGGAAAGACTTCTTATGCATTTTCATTGCTTGAACAAATTAAGCCCCACCTTGGGGCTTGAAATCAGCACACAGGGTTCCTTAGTTTTGTTAGCGTTTTATTTTCTATTGCAATCATGCAGTCTGTATACAAAATGTCCAAAAGTACAGACAGAAAAAAAGATTGTCTTTCTTTTAACGATTCGATTTCAATCAGACTGTCAACATTTGGCATGGGCTACAATCCACCTAACTAGAGCAACACACAGACCAGTATACAAATATTATTATGACGTCCTTTGTTCTAAAAAAAACAGATCTGTCTTGTTTGTTCTGAATTTTTACTCAGGATTGTTTAGACTTTCTATTTCTTCAAGAATTTTACTCTTGATATCCAGAGCTTTATTAAAACTGAACATAGGTGACCACATCGGTGCATTTTTTAATTAACCAATCAGAATCCAGGATTTTGTACCCTATTTGCATAAAGATTGTCCTCAGTTCACATCTGCTTTATATGTCACAATGAAATATAAGGAAACTGAAATCATATATAATTTTATGCAATGCTCTTCAAAATTTTTAAAATTTAAAAAAAGCGTAACTGAACAGGAATATCTGTATAGTCGTCACACAATAAGTCAAGCTGGTATTCCGCCTTTGTTTTACCATTTAGACGAGTATACTTTTTGGTGGACAGATCACAGAAATATCAATAGATGACCATGTAAGCCCCGACATAGCATTATTTATGTAAGGAATACAAAATGTATTTAACACAGAAGGTTCATTATAATAAAAATTATTTTACACATGTGTGACATGTATGCAAACATTTTGATATTTAAAAGAAATAAAATGATATATAAAGCGAGGTATGTCACTCGTCAGCTTTTGAGAAAAATTTGGTCAGAACCTCTTACTTCAATATCATTTATTACAATTCAATTTTTATATCATATTTTAATTCAACGATGCAAATTTTATAATATTGGACTGTTTCTTGCAGTGGAAGGATATTTAGAAGAAAATTCTTCAAATCTACGCATTTGTTAAGCTTAATATTTTGAATATCTAGCCCTACGTATTTTTGCTCAAGGAATTATATTCGTTATTATATGCTAGGAATATTAAATATAGGTTTCAATTAATATTTTTAGAACAAATTTTACACATTCACTCATAAAATATGGATATAACGAACAGTATTCAAGCTCAAAGTCCATTTAGACAATACAAATCGGGAGCAGAGCAAACACGGACCTCCAATAACATCAGAGGTGGTATCAGGTGCCATGGGGTAGTGAGAATCCCCTGCCAACCGGTCACACCCGCCGTGTGCTCCTTGTAATGATCGGGAAAACGGAAAAATCCGTAGACAATTCAGTGTGTAAATAATGGCCTAACAATTAGCATGAAGAACGTCAGTCAGCATTTGACTTAATGATAGGTTGTATTTACTGACAAGGTCATTTTATCGACCATAAAACTTGCCAAATGAGACTGTTGATATCCTTGTTTCATCAATTTGTTTGTCAATAGCTTGCCTCGTTCTATAAATTGTTCATACGTAAGACATGCTCTTGCGTATCGAATCAACTGGGAGTCAGAAACCCCATATGCAGTTGATAAGGGTATATTGCTACATAAGTAAGGGAAGTTTGTAAATTGTAAATTCAACGGTCGTTATAATGACCTTAGCTTGTTTGCAAAATTTAATATAACGTATTATTGGGTCTCATTTTGACTGACATATATTATACCAGATGTTAGGCCTTTGTTTTAATACTTAATTTGGCTACGGAATATTCTATCTATCTCATCAATACATAGGGCTCACGGCGGGTTGACCAGTCATTAGGAGATGCTTACTCCTCCTAGGCACCTGATCCCACCTCAGAAAGAATGGAGGAGTACAAGACGATGACAATCCCCCGCTCTCAGAAAAGATTTTTCTCAATTCTAAGTTCAGGAAAAGTTAAAAGCTTCACTCGATTCGAACTCCCTCCAAATCACACGGTTAGGCACAACACTGAACGCGTTATCCACTACGCTACGAAGTCTACATGTATTCGATGTGTGTCAGTGTGATTTAAATAAACGAGTTCCTTGAAACGTATAATTCTTTCAGAAATGTTCAATTTTCATATAGAATGGGTTCGGTCTCCACTTTTTTTGAAACATAAAATAGATTTTACATTTACTTTTCCGTCATTTAAACGTTCATGAAGAATGGAGACTTGATCCATTCATGTTCAAAAATTATTTTTACGGCTCTAATAAACCCATTTTTCACTTAGTATGCTTAATTTTAAACTTTCAAAAAGAGATTATCCATAAATAAGTCGTTCAATAAAAAATGAATCAAATGTGTTGAAGATGACATTACTAAAAACATAATTTTAGTAAAATATAACTTTTTCGTGAATTAAGAAAATTGAAAATATATTGTCTTAGATCAGGGGATTGTAATCGCCTTGCACACCCTCTTTCTTTCCGTGGTCCCTGTTTTATGCCCTTTTCACAGATTTGTATTGCTTGTAGATTTCTTAGATCGATCACAGTTTTTTATCTTCCCCCTTTTCACAGCAATGTATCTTGCCTTGATACGCATGCACAGTTTAGAAATACCCTTTGTTCTGCTTTTACAATATTATTTTGACTATGCCTGTTTTTCGTGGTATTGCAACTGAAGCGTAGCTTACAAAAAAGTCAGTATAATGTTCTAAGGTTTATTTTTGACGTTGGCCCCTAAAATTTCCTTTTACATTTTATTCTCTCTGAATATGTTAGTGTATGAGGCAATACACATTTTACATACATATGAAAGAGAGAGAGGATTACCTCGAAGAGAATAGCAACGACTGCTGTACCGTCTTTTTTATCAATGGCATTGGTCACAGTTCCATACTTAGTATTGAAATGAACCATGTGAAGCTGGGAGTACAAGAGAAATAAACATCAGAAAGACAGAGTTATTTTATCTATAAATTAATTTGTTATTGGGCATTCCTACGCAAAATATAATACAACACTTTCAGTTTCCATAGGTAGACGTGATTGTGTCGTGCATTTTTGTTTCTCTGTAATTTGAAGTGCATGGAATAACTTATATTATTTTTGCTCAATAATTCCAAAGTGAGTGTAATAAATTCAGGCCCGTAGGAAACAATGTCAGCTGGGTGAAGACACAAAACAAAAATTCTTGACAAAAAAGACGTTAGGATTGAGGGAGCACAACGATAAATTTATCCTTGTTTTCTATTGTGTAGCATACACTGGCAAAATTATCAAGGGGGCAAAATCCTTGATCAATTTATAACAATGTTATAATGTGTCAAAATAGTTATTTTTAAGGTATAAAGTGGATCTATGCTCCATGATTTTGTTAACCAAAAAACGTTTAGGTAAATGTATATTTTTACGCATAATTTGAGGATAAAATTCCAAAAAAAAAATATTTGGAGGGAAGACCACTCATATTGGAAAAAATGTGCTATAATATGAAGAAATGTTCGTTTTTGCCCCCTTTGGTGTGTGTATGCTATTTAATTGCTTTATAATTGAGATTTATTTTTCACCTTCTTACATAATATTTGTCGCAACAAAGGCATTTGCGCGCCTTGTTAGCCCATCTTTATTGTCTTTTCGTTTCTCCCTCTTACAAAAGACTGTTTAAAAAATCATTCCATATTATGACTAAAAAAATTGTTGTACTGTTCAAAAAGAGTCAATTTAAAAAAAATAAATTTTTGAAACCACAAAAATTATTTCAGTACTTATTTATACTGCCAACATTACGAAATATACATATAGAGGACAGAAAAGGAGAAGTTATTAAATAAATACAACTTGCCTAAAAATTGTATAAATACATAAAAAACGTTGTATGTATTGATTGCCAGGTAAACAACCTCTCAAAAGACGTTTTTTCCTCTCTATTAAGCCGGATCATGCAGAAAAACAGTGTACACAGAATTATTTATAATATTTATTGTCAACAATGCGGAATAACATGATATAATACTTTCTTTAGTTGTTATTTTGTTTGGTGATTCTTGCAGAAATATCGAGCAAGTCTCGCGGAAATACCGCGAAGATCACGTGAACAGCAGTGAACTTAACATATTTCTAATATTAATCATGTTAATCGCAAAGAAAACCATGAACAAGATTTTTGAGATCTTGATCATAGTTTCTGGTATTATTGTGTTTGTCCAATGTACACGGCACCATGAATTTTCTTATGGCGGGCATCTGTATGGTATGTATAGACTTAAGTCCTCGGAATTTATCAGAAAAAAGTGGCACATACCTTTAAATTAATTCAAGAGAAAAGAAAAATAACCACAGAAATGATAGAATCATTGGCGCCTTTAAGTTTAAAAGATATAGTGCCCAATATTTTTTAAATCAGTTGTGTGTTCCTTTTTTTCCCCCTTTTTAAATATTAATCAATGTTGTCTAATTGAAAAATTTTAATTAAAAGAAAGATGCAATAGTGATATATACGGAATATTGGTATCATTTTGTAATAATGTGTCAAAGTATGTCTAGATATATATTCTTTTTACGACAATATAATTTTTTACACTAAAACATTTATAGATGTTTATGTTGCAACATAAAAGAGTACCTATAAACAATTGCCATCAGTCTAGGTAAGTGGGGCTAAGAGTGAAGACTTTAAGTTCATGATTATCTAAAATGTTTGCAAGAACTAACACAAAACCTCTTAATTTTTACAGGACCCTCGAAATGGGGGGTCACCTGGCGCGAATGTAATGGAGAAAACCAGTCTCCTATCGACCTAAGCTCCTCCAAATGCTGTAAGAAACATTTCAGACTTAAATTCAACAACCATGGCGAGAAATGCGATGGATACCTCATCAACAATGGTAACGAAATGTAAAGCTCTTCGTTGAAATTAATTTTGATGTTTTTCAAACAATAACGTGATTTCGTTGTAATCAATTAACAATTGCAACATTGCAGAAAAAAATACATACATGTATAAATAATTCTAATAATTTTTTTTTCTTGAGAAAAGGACACGCCCCCACGTTTGTTGTCAGGAAGTGCAACAAAAGGAAATTCATCACGGGGATCCCGTTTTACCCTCAGGTTGGGTATCAGCTGGCTCAGTGGCATTTCCACTTTGGTTCAAAACGAAATTGGGGAACAGAACACGCCATTAATGGGAAAAGATTTTCAGCCGAGGTACACAGCTTAATACACTAATATCATATCAGAGAACGGATGAGGGGTAGTTTCTCCGTTTGAATAGAATTATAAACTTAAGAACATGAATGAGGCTACTAGTATTTCAGTTTATAGCCTTTTTCAAACAATGGAATTAATGAGTTTTTCAAACTCATTTTTCGAAAAACTCATTTTTCAAAAATACATATACTCCTAGAGTTAAGATTAAACTATCCTGTTATGACCATGAATAGACATTAAAATATACCCCGGTATTACTCAGTTTCAACAGAACCTTTATGCTTTCCGTTCTCTTTCAATTAAATTTTAAGCTGCTTCAGTGTATCATTGTTTGAATCATCACATGGATTGTCAGATTAAGACATCTTTATAGAAATTATCTTCATTTGAACTTGCTGATAATTAATCAACTATAATCGAATTAATAGTTCATTAAGCCCGGAACGGGGAGGGCGTAACCGCCTCCAATTACTTAACAAGGCAATTAACGGTTTCGCCCCTTAATAATTTGTCCAGTGTATACTACACCATAGAAAACAAGGTTAAATTTATTGTTGCACTTCCTCAATCGTAATGTCTGATGACGTTTTTTTTTTTTTTTTTTTTTTTTTTTTTTTTTTTTTTTTTGTCATGAAATTTTTGTTAACTGCCCGTCCTAACTGAATATTTTTAAGGGTCTGAATTTATTACAATAACATTAGAATTATACTGAACCAAAAATAATACAAGTCATTGAATGCACTTCAAAATTATAGAGAAACAACCACCTCTTTAAATAAAAGATGCATAGCATAATCACCTCTGTCTATTGGAACTGAAGTTTTTCTGTTGTATTTAAAATATTTTGCTTGGAAATGACCAAAGAAAATTAATTTATAGATTTATAGATAGAATAATTCAGTCTTTATGATGTTTATTTCTCTATACTCTCAGCTTCACATGGTTCATTTCAATACTAAGTATGGAACTGTGACCAAAGCCATTGATAAAAAAGATGGTATAGCAGTCGTTGCTATTCTTTTCGAGGTAACTCTCTCTCTCACTCTCTCTCTCATGTGTATGTACATGTAAAATGTGTATTACCTATACATGTAATGTGTGTATTGCCTATACATGTAATGTTCTCGTAACTTTAAAAATAATTCTTTTTGGACACATTGAAATATATGTTACTCTAGAAATCATTTCAACAGAGATCTCCAAAATATTTTAAAACTATTTAATATCCTCTTAATTGAATCATCAGGAAAGTCGGAGGGCCCGACTCTCACCGATTGATCTATTTTTCCGGAAGTACGGCTCCCATGTGTATCATCCAGGTAAGAAGACAAGCGATCATGTATATTGTAAGGACGTTAGATAGGGAAAGCTAAACTTAACGTGCAGATATGGTCAGTTCCAAGAGTTGATTGCAAATTAACTATATATGCTTTTCCAAGCTTTCATGTTAACAGAAGAAACTGAACGCGTTAGTCACAGGGGTCACAATATTTGCAATGTAACTGTTTTATTCCATACTAGACTATTTGCCAAACTTCAAAGGAACATGTTTTGCATATATCTTCAGTTGCTTCCATTTTACAATGTATAGCAATTCATGAAATACACTTTATATTGAAATAGAATTTAATTTAAAATGCTTACAGTGATTTATGTCCATGTTTATGAATATTTAGTGAATTCTTACAGGACATGCAGTCAAGGCTGTGTTTAATCCTGTGGAATGTATTCCAAAGAATAATCGTATGTTTTTCTACAAAGGATCGTTAACGACGCCCGGATGTTACGAGAGCGTTAATTGGTTAGTTTTCAAACAACGCTTGGCTATATCGCCAAGAACGGTAAGGGGCTAAAGGAAGGGTTGACGGAATAATCCAATCCTTCCCTTAAAATTTTTTTTTATCGTGAAAGATCCAAATAAACGTAGATATAGTGTTACTGTGTACTTATATATATCTCAATTTTAGGAGAAAAATTAAATTTCATTACATTTTATGTGCAATGCATACCATGATAATAATGATTTAATATTTACAATTAAATTGATGAGATATATTAATACACAAAATAATACTATTAAAACAATATTTTCAATTTTCTTTTAAAGACTAATATGATGTTTAAATAACGTAATAAAGGAAATAATTTCTTAAATTCTTCATTACCATTTTTATCTTGCAAGATGACATTTTTCCGGAAATTGAAAACTTTTCATCATGAAGCGCCTATTGCACAACTAACCAACCTTCGACCACTACAGACACTGGGAAAAAGGAAAGTGTATTGTAGTATCTGAACACTTAATAATAAAATAAACCCGGAAATAAAACCGAGAGAATGAAGATATACTGAAATATACACAGGATGAACTTGCACCATTCAGTCAACTGAATGGTCACTGAAAGGTCTAGAAAGTCACTAAATGGCAGAGCTCTGCCATTCAGTCACCTTTTAGTTAACTTACACTTTTCAGTTTACTGAATGGCAGAGTTTTATCTTGTAATAACCTGAACCTACTATTAGTTCACTATCTAAATTTTAGTAACTTTGGTTAGATGGAACTCTTTACCTTAGCATATAGAGTCTACTAATTTATAAGATTATTTTAAGTTGAACCATAATGACTGATCCTTGTAAATGTGAAAATACAACAGATAATGAACGAACTTATAAAAGTTTTTTTTTTTTTAATTGCCATAGTCATTGGCTCAGGTGTGAAAAGATAGGGGGAAAAACCAACATCGTTGACGGGATTAAATTCAGTAAACTTATTGGCCCATGCACTATTGTGATAGTAACTGTATATTATATAAAAGTTCACAATATGGGGTCTTTTTTCTTTATTCATTTTTCAGAAAAAGAGTGAAATGTTACCGGTGAATATCAAATATACCTCTTTTAAACGATTTTTTTTCCATTAAAAGTGTTTATAAGTTTAAAATAAATGGAATTAAGATTTACAATAAAGGTTGAAATTAACCGTTAATGTAAACAAAAATTAAACTTTAGTATCAATTAACAATATTTATATTCTCCCTCACTTCGTTCGTCCGAATATAATAAATCAATGAAGTGCTAAATGAATATAACACAACACATATTAAGCAGGAACGCTGCTCGCTAGTGCTTTTATTCAATTATATACTGCTAACACATAACCATAACACATTAACTAATACAACTGTATAGCCCAAATTCATTGCACTCCATTGGATTTGCATCACTATCAGCCACACTAATCTTTAAATCCTAGCGAGCGAGCTTTGAGTGCCGTGCTACCGCATGACCTTACTATTTATACCCTATATAACCACGTGACTTTCAAAGAAACTTTTCGAACACGCTACATAATACCATGCCGCACATAATTTTAATTTTTTTCATTCATATGTCAACTCGGTACACCAGTATCCCAATGAACTCCAAATAAAAGACACTACATGGATAGTCTGTCACAACTATTTCAAAGTTGGATGTTTTCCTGTCTATAGAATAGGTGCTGGTAGTTATATTTGCATCCACTTAATATTATTTTCTTTATCTCTTATGAAAACCATGGTCGTTTATAACTAAGAGAGCCACCTGTATAGATTTCTTGAGCAGTGGTTCTTTCAGCATTGAAACATACAGTGACGTACATATAAATAATACAATACTAGTATTTAACATACTTAACCCTACTCTATATGATTATTTATACAGACATTAGATATAAACGATAAAATGTCTTTTTTACATTGTTTGTTTGTAAGGAAATAATGTTGCAGCTATTTCAGAAAACAATTAAATAAACCGCTTACCTGGGTTATGTACTTTTTTCGTAACGTCAGCAACATTTAATTCCCATACAAACAAAGAAAGAAAGTGTGTTATTGTTTAAATATTCCTCTATCACCTGCATATGGTGTTGATGTCTCCCAACTAATTCAGTACGCAATATGTTATGAGTACGATCAGTATTTAAAACTGAGGCATACTACTGACGTATAAGTTGATGTTTTCAACAACCTCGTTTAAAGTCAGCATTTCGCGAATTATATTGTTGTTATAATAATCTTGTTTGCAAATACAACCTAATGTTGGTCGCATTTCGACTGACATGTTTCATACAAATCTTTTGACCACCGTCTATACTTACTTCAACCACGGATTACTCCTTCTGCCTTATCAATGCAAGAACGCTCACGACGAATTTGACCGGACTCCTCCTAGGCATTTGAATCCACTTTAAATTTAGTATTTTCAGGGATGCATGTTTTTGTCCTGCATATTCACGATTCGCATCGGTTTACAGGATTTATGAAATAAATCACAGGATTTAGGAGACTGAAAACTGTTTACAAGATTTATGTAATTGATCATTGTTTACAGGATTTAGGAGATTGATCTTTGATTACAGGAAATATGTATTTGATCACTGTTTACAGGATTTAGAAGATTGATCATTGTTTACAGAATTTAGGAGATTGATCAATGTTTACAGGATTTATGTAATTGATCATTGTTTACAGGATTTAGGAGATTGATTACTGTTTACAGGATTTATGTAATTGATCACTGTTTGCAGGATTTAGGAGATTGATCACTGTTTACAGGATTTATGTAATTGATCACTGTTTAAAGCATTTATGTAATTGATCACTGTTTCCAGGATTTTGGATATTCAGATCACTGTTTACAAGATTTAGGAGATTGATCACTGTTTACAGGATTTAGAAGATTGATCATTGTTTACAGGATTTATGATATTGATCACTGTTTACAGGATTAAGGAGATTGTTCACTGTTTACAGGATTTATGAGATTGTTTACAGGATTTAAGAGATTGATCACCGTTTACAGGATTTATGTAATTGATCATTGTTTGCAGGATTTAGGAGATTAGTCACTGTTTGCAGGATTTAGGGAAATTTAGATCAATGTTTACAGGATTCAGGAGATTGATCACTGTTTACAGGATTTAGGAGATTGATATCATTGTTTACAGGATTTAGGAGATTGATATCATTGTTTACAGGATTTAGGAGATTGATCACTGTTTACAGGATTTAGGAGATTGATCAATGTTTACAGGATTTATGAGATTGATCAATGTTTACAGGATTTATTACATTGATCGCTATTCGTTCTCTTCACTCTTTCATTAAGGGTACATTTTACATTAAAAGTCTCAACAGCGGTTTTCTTTTCTTACGAAAACAATATTTTAACGCCCTTAAGCAAGCCACCTGACTGTATAGATTTCTTGAGTAGTGGCTCGATCTTCATCAACGAAACATACAATGACGTACATGCTAATGATACAATACATGTATTTAACGTACGTGTGCGTAAACCTACTTGATATATTATTTACACAGAAATAAATATAAACAATAAAATGTCTTTCTTTGTCTGTTAGTATGGAGATTAACGTTACAGCTATTGCAGAAAAAAATTTACATAACCCGCTTACAACCACCAAACAGAGACATGATTGTAACTTTACATTGAAATAACACCAACAAGAGATTTACATATCGTTGTTTGATGTCCCTTGAGGCTTCTGTGTATTACTGCTCACAGTACACAGACGAACCATTCGGCCAAGAGAGAAAAAACGCAAATACCTTGTTATTCTTGAGTAATATGAATAGAGGTAGGTCTTCCGAGCTTCGTGACATAGATTCCAAATATTTTCTCCTAAGATTCTTTAAACATTAAAAAAACTGTTCATTTTTTCATGAACTATAGGATGAATGAGCATGAATATCTCGTAGTTGACGTCAAAACTATTGTGCAAACCGTTTTGTTTCAAAATTGATATCTGAATGATATAATTTGTGGCAAGTCATCAGATAAATAATGTAAATAAAAGACATGGATTTACTTTTTTAAAAATTCATGAAATACATGAACTACAACGCTTCATGTCTGCATATTTATCATAAAGTGCTAACGCGCTTCATGAAATATGCCCGTAGCATCGTAGTTCATGAATTTTCAAAACTTAAATTCATTTCTGAAATAAATTGTTACGCATCGACGAGATATATCTATATATACTGTGCAGTACAACGACACTAACCCAGCAGCAAGAGGCTAGAGCCATCAAAATGGCTTAAATGTGTGCAAGTTTTATTTTGTTGATGTAGGTATGCTTTAGCGACTGCCTAGGAACACAAAAATATAATTATCCTCATAACTTGAATCATTGCTCATTAATTCTTTCAATTATTCTTAAAACAGAAAAAAAAATTAATGAAAAGTAATATGAAATAAATACTCTTAAATATGCATTTGAATATTACCTTCGGAACCACTACTATACTTATACGAGTTGCAATTGTCATTTTATTGCAAATTCGTCATAAAAATCCTACTAAATGGTAATAAAAAAGTTCAATTTAAAAAGAAATACAGTGGCGCCGCGTTTATCCGGACGCCAATTATCCGGACGCTTCACCATCCGGACACATGCCAAAGAGAAGGCGAATAAAATTCCCAGTGTTTAACACGGAGGTCTCAGCATAAAATTGCCTATTATCCATTTTTTATTGTGTAAATTACATTTTAATGTTTTTTTCTTTAATTAATTACTTCTTTTAAAACTATAAAACCAAAATATTAAAGTTTCTTTTCTTTGCCGTCAAATTTGATACAAGAATGTGCTTTATACATGCTTGGAGAGTGTTTTTTGAGAAGTGATATATTTATCCGGACGATTTCGTTGGGGACAGAGGCGTCCGGATAAACGAGGCGCTACTGTACATGTAATAATAATTCAAGTAAGAGGCCCAAGGGCCACATCACTAATCTGAGCACTTTGGCTAGAGAAAAGCAGAAATCAGTTCAGTATTGAAAAGTTTAAATATATGTGGCCCCGCTCTATACTCCTTATCCTAGCTACCTCCTGAAGGGGCATGATTTAAACAAATTTGAATGTACACTGAGGACGCTTCCATGGAGTTTCTTTAAAGAAAAAAAAAATTAAAAAAATAAAGAAACTCCTGGAGGGGCATGATTTAAACAAATTTGAATGTACACTAACTGAGGACGCTTCCATGGAGTTTCTTTAAAGAAAAAAAATAAATAAAAAAATAAAGAAACTCCTGGTGGGGCATGATTTAAACAAACTTGAATGTACACTAGCTGAGGACGCTTCCATGGAGTTTCTTTAAAGAAAAAAAATAAATAAAAAAATAAAGAAACTCCTGGAGGGGCATGATTTAAACAAATTTGAATGTACACTAACTGAGGACGCTTCCATGGTTATATGACTAATCATAGCTTCAAAAACGTTTAGAGATTTTAAAGATTTT